TCTTATATACTATAATAAAAAGTTTTAGCTTAATACTTATAAATAAGTTTCTAAGTTTTCTAAATCCTAGATAAGTAACTAGCTATAATAGTTATTAAAGACTATAATTAAACAAGCTCTTTATAAAGCCTTAAAAGCTTTTTACTTATTATTTCTTTTTTTTTATTCTATTTTTTTTATTAAGTATTTAATTTTTATACTATAAATAAAGGTTAAATAAAAAAGACTATACTTAATTAAAGGACACTTATAAGTAGAAGCTACTAAAACACTATTATAAGGCTTTTTAGCCTTAATATAGCTATAATAGCAAAAAAAACCTTTATTAAAACAATAAGTAGTCTTTATATAAAAATAATAAGTATAAGGTATATTAGTAATAATAGAATAAGCCTTAATAAACTCTAGAAGTATAAAGCGCTTATAATTTTTTATTTTTATTTTCTAAGATTTTACTTTTAGTTTTAATTTTTTTATATAACTTAATATAATATTAGTATTATAAATAAATAAGAAAGTAAGTTTAATAACTCCTTAACCTAGAAGGAATAACCTACTTATAAGGTCTTAAGGGTAAGACCTTTAGAGAGGAGACCTAATGTTATAACCTAATAAGCATAACATAACCAGGGTTACCTTATAAGCGCCTAGTAGTTATAAGACAAGGTTATATACAAGATAATATAAGAACACATTAATCCCCTCTTAGAACAAAAGAACTAAGGAAGATTATATAAAAATAAAAAGAACTAACAACAAATAAGCAGTTTATAACCTAGGACTAATATACTAAGGATTAGTCTTTATCAAAGACTAACTTTAAGAGATCAGTCCCAATAAGGCAATAATAAGATATAAGGATAATCATTCTAACTAAACTAGATACTTTTTATAGCTCTTTAGCAATCAACTTTGTAATTCACTCTACCATAAGTGACTCTCAGATTATCCTTCTATTGTAAAACCATACAAGCTACCTTCACCTTAACGTGCACAACTGATCACCGTTCACCCATAGGGCTACAGATTACTAACAAGACTTGCTTTACTGTCATCGAGTATTGACCTTAGCTGTCTATTAGCAGACACCTCCACTGTCGGATATCTGACCGTAACAACATAGTGATATCTTACAGTCTGAGACGTTCGCAATATAATTAAGTATTCTTTAACGAACTTTAAACGCGTGTGACTTAAAATCCACTCTTAATGCGATTTGTTTCATCTTCTATTTTTCAAGAATCAGGCAGCTTCAAGGCCTAAACAGATTGTACTCTTTTCCTAGGGGCTCGACTGCGAAATCATATTACCGTACCCTGCCTTTCATGATATCTCAATAGTTCTGCCTACAAAGGCCCTGGTCATCCGGCGAGACCCTAGTACTTACAGATTTGAACGTCCAACTTGAATGTTTAGCTTATTCTTCTCTAGAAGACTCAGTCTATTCTGGCAGAGCAATCGAAAACCTATGAACATTGCTCTGTATCAGGCAACAGTCCAAGCAAGAACATCGCCATCATATGTCCTCATTGTACTACTGTCTTATGGCTTCCAAGTCTTGAAATTGAGCGGCAACAATTATTTCTATTATCTCCAATGATCACTCTAAGTAACCCAAATTGCAGGAACCGTACTAGACGCTCCACCAGTTCCTGCTCTTCCATGGCGCTGTTTAATCTACTCACGGGCCTCGAAACAAACAATACATACAGTCGCATCTTGTTGCAAATTTTCCTGATTGTCTCTTGTTTTGCGCGGAAAATACAGAAATCTCAAGAGCAATTCATCGGGCGTGCGCCGTTGAAACTCAGTCTTGGGGGTTGTCTTCTTCTCCCTCACACAAGACGACATCACCATGTCCTCAGAAGACTTAAATTGCTTGATAGTATCAGTGATCACGTTTTGGTCACCGCGCCTATCGAGTAAGAGCCGAGGTGTCAGTACGTTCTATTCTAGTTTGGCTACATATTTCATCTTTCACCTACACTTCCTACTGCAGCTTGAGCTTATAGACTCAAGTAATCTGGTGTTGGAATCTGATTTCGTTGTTTTAAAAAGCAACTTCTAGTATTATTCTATTGGTTGCTTAGTTGAATAAATAAAGAATGCTTCTACAAACATACATAAGCATGCAGAAAAGTAATAAAGCAAGGCTAATTCGGCCCTCATACAGTTTTGGCAGCACTCTGCTATCCAGCGGTACATCTTTGCCTAGTGCAGTACCAGCTGAAGTCTCGGAATCAGCTTTAATAGTACGTTCCATCATAAGCCAGAGTAAAATAGGCAAGACTCCTCCCGGGGTTGGAACCACCAATAAATCCTTGATGTCTTGCACTTCGGGGTCCAGATCGCCCATTTTTCTGTTAACGTCGAAACCCAAATCGATGACCAATTTGACACTAGGACCCAGCATGGTCGGCTTGACCATTCCACCCTTGTTGAGTTCTGTTATGATCACCGTACTGCGCTTGCGGTCAATCATTTCGCCTTCCAAATTCGGCAGCATCTCAATATACTGGTAGTGGCGCTTCAATTCTGCCCTGAATCCTGGTGTAATGATGTTGGTCCCCCAAGCAAGATTATGTTCAAGTCAAGCATCCAGGCTTTATGGTATGCAGCAAGCAGGCGCGTCACCCCATCGACTGCAATGTTGCTGGCCTTTTCTCCTGTGTACTCCTCTATGTGCTTCCGCCTCTCTATGCTGTTCATCACTTGATATTGACTAAGGTGCTTTGGTATAGGTCTCTGAACCAGAATGCCGTGAGTGCAGTCGTCTTTGTTTAATTTTTCAATTATACGGAGAATTTCGTTGATCGATGCGTCGGGCGGTAGCTTGTATGATGTATAGCCGATGCCAGCCTAGGGTTCGATTAGCCATTTGTCCAGTGTATGATTAACGAGGTCTATGGTATGTGGGCTGTACCTTGGCTGCCACTTCAGCTTTGATCTGCAAGTACTCCTGTGCGTCATTGCCAGTGTCGAAGTAAATTACTGCTAGCATGGGCTTGTTGCCGTTTCGGTTTCGGTTATGCCCGAGGCACCACTGCTTTAGGTTCTCGACTATTGGATCGCCTATGAGGAGGCATGGTTGACTAGGGTAGCTGACGTAGCCGACGGTCAGTTGGAGATCGCTCTCCTTGTAGGTGAAATCTGTCCTAGATGTGCTCAATGACATGCTATAAAGTAGGCAGGAGCAATACACAGATTTGGCGCAAGAAGGAGGCAACAATAATACTGGTTTTCTGAATTGTCACATCTTGAAGGTGCGAATCGGCTGCTTTTGATGATACTGTATCAGTATGCAACCGGAAAAGTTTTTTCTTCTTTTCCGATGGGTCATGTCTAATTAATGTCTCAAAGGGAATGCAGGGGAGAGGACAGGAACAATAATTATTGCTTGGACTTATGGACATTTAGAAATATGCATGCTGCGCGAATTATAGCAAATATGTCAAATCAACGATCAGGCATCGTTCTCCATGATTCAATCTCAGCACTTCCATCGTTTGTCAAAGGAAAAGTCGATACTTCTATGAGATATAACTACGGCGGTCTCAGACAAACACAAAACGCAGCCGGGCAGGAATGGGCGAATGAAACATTCTTTCTCGTAAGTCGGATCCAGACTAGTGGCAACTGTACCGCACATAGTGAGGATAATTGCTTTATACGTCTTCTGTTCTGACTTTTCACCACTTATTAAGCCACAGATTCTGTATGGCGTGACAAGCCTAATCGCATTCGGTTCGTTGATTCCCGATCTGGAGGCTCATCAACATGAAGCGGTGGGGGCAATATTACCCATACCATTAGTAATATAATGTATTGCTTTCAATCACCTTACACTTTTGTATCTGTAAAAGCATGTGTACATACACGTACATTGTGTGCGACGCGCAGTCAGGTTTGGGACTTAGGCACACAGCTGTCGTGCCACAGCGCTAATTATTACAAGGCATTTAAATACAGCCCCATAAATAGTTGTATGACAAGATTCAGACTCTTACAGTTTGAAGGAGCTCCAGCCTTTAAATCGACGTCAACTCGTGTCAAGTCGGATGTTTTCTCTATGGCGGTATCACCAATGTCAAGGAAACAGCCATACGTATTGGGTAATGCCCAAACAATGGAATTTATCTAGTGAAATCAACACTTTGCTAAAGGTAAGCGTGATTTCGATTGCACAAGGTTTATCCTGCTAACTGATTCTCAAGCCAGTAAAATGAAGCCTGCTAGAATCAAGTGCGCGCTGTATTGATTTGTAGAATGCCTACTCAGCGGCAGTAATAGACAAAGACTGACTTCACAAATCGTGCATGACGTGTAACTATGCGACGCACATTGAGCTTCCGCATCACTTGTTTGAAAAGGAATATCTCGCGCTTAGTGTAGCTGAATTAGGGCAGCTAACCTATCCGAATTTTGAAATCTTTCAGCAGCAACCTAGTGTGACATCGAGTAATTCAACTGGTATGATTAACTTCATAGCTGCCTAGCACTAATTTAGTGTCCTCGAGCCCAACAACGGACACTCTGAAGCTTTTCGGGTCTCCATACTATTGATTCCCCAGCTAGGTCCTTCAAGAAAGAATAGAAAGTCGTTGCTCGGATTGTATGTCACTCTTCACTGTCACCTAATGAGCTTCCCCAGGTTTTAGTCCGCGCACAGCTGCGGTCACTAAAAAATCATTTTCATTCTATATATGAAGTCTCGCATAAGCCCTAACTGAGGGAGTCAATCTCATAGAGAAACGTGGATAATGTGTTTTCCTTTTAGCGTGGGAAATACTGATAGGAACGGTTCGCCGCGTCTGGCATGAATGGAATAAGATGATCCAGTGGGTTAAGACAAATTGAGACGAAGTGTAGCCATGGCAGTCGCCTTAAGATTGTGGTGCTACGATTATTCATATGACAATTATCGACCGCCTCTCTAAAGTGCTACAAAACATGTGAGTTGATCCCGCAAAAAGTCTCTGGGTCTCGCCTGAAACCTAGCATTAGACGGTGATCTTGTCAATTCCCAGGACGTCCTGGAATTCGCCAACTTTCTCGATTTTTCCCTTGGATAGCAGGACAATAGTATCCTGGTTCTTGCGGAGATTCTCAGTGGCACTGAGTAACCTGTGCGTTATCATGACAACGGTGTGGCCGTTATTTGTAAATTCGTTCCGCACAATATCGTGCATGATTGCTTCGGTCTCAGGGTCAACTGAAGATGTGGCTTCATCTAATAAAAGAATCGACATAATTCGTCTCGGGCCCGATGGCCCCACGTATCTGCCGTTCGCGTGATTCAGTTGTTGAAGTTGCAAGAGTGCCCGAGCAAGTGCGAACAATTGCAACTGGCCAGTTGACATCTGTGGCAACGAAGATATCGGATTCTCCAGAATTGCCTGCCATTCTGCAGACTGAGGTATAGAGTTGCCGGAAGCAAGATGCGCCCAAAGGGTTGTTCGTTTGAGAGCTTCAACAAGGTTTTCGCCGGGCAAAGAACCAGTAGGCTGGGTAAGAAGCAAATTAGCAGCCACGCTTATGGCCCGTTGCCTTCATGTTTGAGGGTCATATTCTTACATCGAGGTTAAATCGAAGACTAGCTTGCCCCAGGATACAAGGATCTTGGGTAACTGTGATGAAGCATTTCCTTCGAACCAAAGATCGTGGAACCGTGCTCAAATCAACACCGTCTACCTTGATGCTTCCCGAAGTATTATCCAAAAGACGCAGAAGGGCGAGGAGCAGAGTACTTTTGCCGCTATATCCCCGCCAAGCTATGTCAAACATGTTCTGGGAGATGAGGTTCGTCTGATGTAGATTTACATACCTTCCTGTACGGCCACAAATTACAGCTTGCTGACCAGCTGATATATTCATTGTGATATCGTTCAGTGCCATAGTTTGCGAACTGCATGTCAATATCAGCTTTTGGAAATATGAAGGGTAAGGAAGAACTCTCTTACTTGTATCCTACAGTGACCTCATCCAGCTTGATATCTCCTGATGATGGCCAAGTCTCTGGAGGTACGTAGTCTTCAGAAACCTTTTCTTCTTTTGGTGTTTCGGTCTCAAGTTGTTTCAAACGGGATCTGTAAGGTTGTCAGAAATACACAGGTGCAAAACAATACAAAAAAGAAAAAAGCATGGCACTATGAATGATTCTTCATCTGAAAGGAACACCACTCGATCTAGTGTACAGAGATATAGATACGGTATGGAAGCGAGGTGAACGAATAGAGCCGGGAACTAACAGCGGGAAAGGCAAAGAAACCATACTCACATAGCGCCCAGAGATATCTCCAGGTTAGTCCAAGATGTCACGAGGCTGAAAAGTGTATTATTCGCAATTAATACTACGTTTAGGGCCATGCCGATCTGCGCTGCCGTTGTTGTACCCTTAAGCAGAACAGCAAGAACGATGAGACCTATTGCAATAGTAGCAACAATGAGATCGAGAACAATGCCGAGCCATTGCTGAAGGCAAAAAAGAAGATAAGACGGCTGCTGAGATATGTCGAGGCAGCAAATGTTTGCTTGCTTGACTTCTTTCTCCCAGCCAAATGCTCGAATTGTCACAACGCCTTCGACCTGTCACTCGTTAGACTAAACAAAATGACGCTTCATAATACGACATACAGCTTCAAGAAAACTAGAATAAATGGCTGACTGTGACTCAAGATCGAGTAATCGTAGTTGACGCGAAGTACGAAGGTATATCTTTTGTACAAGGTATACTGCTACAGCGCAGAGAGGCAGCGTGAGTGCCATGAGCTTTTGTACACTGGACAACAAAACGATTTGCACTAAAAGTTTGAAAACCTCTGGTTTTGTCAGCAGTATGACCATAGAGTGTCAAGTTAGTCTCACGATTTGACATTGACAAGATGGCTGGCGGTAAGCTCCTGTCAACTAGTTGCATATCCTGACTAAATCTGTTACGGCTTAGCATGAGAAAAGGACTCGAAATAGAGCTGAAGCTAACCGATTCAGAATTACTCCTGTGTCAGTGACGGAGAAGTAAGAAAGTGGCGCCCTTATTCTTATGAGTATTAGCATATTACAGAATAAACTAGCATGTACGCACCGTATAATCGTCGATAAAAGACGACGGTGCAGTTCAGTCCCGGATTGTGGTGCAATCAGAACGTGCGTGGACCTTTTTACAATCAGTAAGTCAGTGGGTAAGAAAAAGTGCAGTACCTACCACATAGAGCCATTGGTGAAACTCCAAGCCAGTAGAGATAGGATGAGATAGCCTCCAACATAAAACATTGTCTGCGCTGGTGGCGCTGCGGTCCATTTTTGTAACCAGTACTGGGGTATAGTTATGAAGAATGAATATAGCAATGTACAAGTCAAAAGCACAAAAAGATTACGTAGACCGACGGTTTGGAGGTAGTAACCTATGTAGGGAATCGAAGTTAGTGAGTTGTTCTCTCTACACAGGTTTAGAGTACTACCATAGAGTGTTATGTCGCCTGTTGCTCGTTTGAGATCATGAATAGCTTCAGACACTTTCAGGCTTTGACTCGAGATAGTGGTTTCCACTTGCGAATGTTCTTCAGCGCTGTGCTTCGAAGTCTCCTCGACATTAGATGAGGAAAGTCTTTCTGACTTTTGCTTCAAGTCTTCCCACGTTCCCTGGTATGCAACAGTAGCATCGCGAAGAAGAACTAGCCAGTCTGCCAAACGGAAATAGTCGGCTTTTTCTTTTAGCATTTGCTCTGCTTTCACTGAAGGCCGCTCGGACTTACTGGAGTGTGTTGTGAGAAAGACAGTTGTGCCCATTTTCTTGAAATGGCCCTCTGGCCCAATGAGATTTTCGAGAACGAGGGTTTCTGTCCTCTTATCGAGGGCACTGAAAGAATCATCCAGAAGCACGATGTCACACCGCGCGTATACAGCACGGGCGAGCGCCTAAAGTAGTGTCAGAAAGATGGTATCTTGTTGTGACTATACCACATAGATAGAGCAAATTGAAGCTCGGAAGTATCGGTTTCGAGAGCATAAAGTAGAACCTCTGTATCCTTATGCATAGGTATCAAAGACTAGTTGAGAGATTTGAACGAACTTACTAAGCGTTGCCGTTGTCCTCCTGAGAGGTTCAGGCCTCGGCTACCTATCAATGTGTTGTCACCGTTAGGCAGTGCTGATATATCATCGTTCAGACAGCACAGTCGGACGACCTGTTTGTACCAGCTTGTTTCGTATGGCATGAAGCCGCAAATGGCTTCCATGATAGTGCCATTGCATAGCCACGGCGATTGTTCACAGTAACCCATACGCTTCGAGGACACTGAGATCGTTCCGCTTAGCGTAGGAAGCTCGCCCATAAGGGCTTTGATGAGAGTCGTTTTGCCGCTTGCGACTGGTCCAGAGCACATGACGATGGAGCCTCGGTTGATGATGAAACTGGCGTTTTTGAGAGTAGGTGGCACCGATGGAGCAGGCTGTATAGTGACATCCTCAACGCAAACCTCTGGTGCGTCCTTTATGTTAACTTCTTCACCTCTCTGTAACAACAATCTTCCATCGCTTCGAGGTGACTGAACAAGGTATTGTTGGATTCGCTCGAAAGCGGCCAGTGAGCCGGTTGCCTGCGGAACAATCGACATGATCATGTTTGCAGGGTGGGTTACCAAGCCCAAAAGTGCAGTTGTTGTAAACGCGGTCTCTGTATCGAGCACCGAGCCATTCAATCTTGCTAAGACGACGAATAAGACCAAGGTGATAACGGGTGAAAATATACCAAGGGCGTTCGCTAAGAAGACATGAGCAAAGATCCAAACTCCATAACATAGAAATAACTTACCGCTTGCGTTATGGGCCACCATCATCCATCGCACCTTCTTTGCCATATCCAGCTCCTGAAGTCGCAGATTATGGACTAGGGACTCTGTGTATGGAGTGAATCCGAGCATTTTCAACCCTTTCATCGACGTAATCAACGATGTTGTTGTCGCGAGGCGTTTCTGTGTAGCAACATTCCAATTCTTCTGCATACCCTGCAGGTTTTTCGCTAAATATTTAGTCATTCGGGAGCAGACTACAATTCCAATCAGCTTTTTGGCACGACATCGACAGACATGGACTTACAGAAGATGATGACCAAGGGAATTACGCAAACCCATCCAACTTGCCTAGCTAACATCACTGTGCCCAGAATAACCTCGATGATATGCGCCCAAGTTTCATGGAACATCTGGGCGCTCTGGCCTACATTGGCCGCGTCTGTGCTCATTAAAGTTACGGCTCTTCCGTCATCATAGCCGGCAAATTGCTGAGTAAGAGTCTTGCTATGGATCAGGCCAATAACCGCACCCCTAATCATGGTCTTTAATCGATTGAGGCTGTGTGCGTATACTGTTCTGCATATCTATACAAAAGACTTAGCACGGCACCTCTCAAAGCTCACAATCACTTACTGTCAGGCCAACATAGACGACAATAGCCAAGAGAATCACTGAGCTGCCTGAACTGAAGACGGTATCTGGCGAATTATTCATATAGCGGATGGCAACACTGATGAGAACTGGCTGGGCGTAACGAAAAGCGATGAGAAAGAATCTAGGGATGATAGGCGCAAGGAAGTGTGGCAGCATGCTTTGTGCCAAAACCTTAGGCAATGTCATCTTCTGCTCTGGTTTATCTGCGTACTGTTAGACTCTATTTTGGACCAATTCGGAAGACTTTGGCCCTGGGGTACCTCTCAGGTCCCAAGCTCGCAGAGCTTGACGACGCAGTACTCGAGACGAGAGTCTGCTGTCAATGGGTGGAAGATTTTCTGCAGTGAGAAAGTTCCGATATCCTTCCCATAAAATCGAATTAATCCACCAAAAGAATGTCCTGTTCAGCACGCCAGCTAGCTGTTCTGGGGAATAATGATCTCGTGGACTTCGCAAGATGGCTTTTTTCCCTTGACATTCGATTATCAGCACCATAAGCCTGAAACAAACAATGGCCACAGCCAGCCAAAATAATAGGGAGTTGTCGTTTTGGTATCGGATTTCCACGATTTGGACAGCATCGCACGATAGAGACCATAGCAAATAAAGAGTTGCGAGATCTGACGGTTTGATGGATCGCCCGTGCTCCAGCACTAACAATGGGCAGAGCCCAATGCATGCCACGAAGGAGGTAACCACAGATAGAAGGCCGATGTCGAAATGCTGAGTCGGGAGTGTTGTGAGAGCCAGATAAAGTGCTTGTACCACTGCGAGAAGCACCGCAATCGCCTATTTCCATAGTCAGTGGTTAGGAATATGAAGCAATAGTTTACGCTGCTGACGCACTAGTTTGACTAGACCGCGGTGCTCTGAGATGACCTTGACTTTTTCTGTGCGAAGCTTAGATAGGCGGAAAGGAAGCAGCAATAGAAAAACAGTCGAGGCCGTAGTAGAAAGTATCCGGAGCGTGACACTCATGATGAGTTCAATTTGGTATGGATCCGTTTCAACAGTTTGAAGACAATCGCGCGAAACGGCTAAAAACGCGTTATGGTAATGCGTTTGGGGGATGTGATTGTGGGAACGTTCAATGACTACTACGTGGACCAAGCTTCCATTTATCACTTGGGGTATTGGTTCCCGCAACCCAGGGGACAGATGCAGTGCTACAGGGATTGCATACCATTAGCTTTAATACGAGGTTTCTCGGCGGAACCGATAGCGAAAGCACTTTTTCTTCCACAATCCGCGTCTCGCCTGTGTTCACTTGCGGCACAGCGCCAAGAAAGAACCAGACACACAACTGGGACCTTCCTTTTCAGACACAATAACCGAATAGCGACGAGCGGCAGCCGCTAACCAACACACAAATGGACTTTGAATGTGGACGCGAGGTAAGAGTGTGGGGCATCCTCTGGGATTGCTTAATCTCCAAACCAAACCAAACCAAATCGCTGCCACTGCACATTTTTCTCGCGTTAGGAAGCCTGCAAGACCGCGCCCAAAGTTTTTGAGCGAGCTTGTCAGAATACGCTCTATCAGATGGTCAAACAACTTCTACAGCCGCCTTGGTTTGCAGCGCCAAGGTACATGAAAGCTATCGAATCGTTGCGTGTCGCCGCCTACAACAAACCCCTGATCACTCCATCCACGTGAACGTTCCTTGTCGCGTCGAGAGGCGCTGCGATGTTGTTAGGGCGAAAGCAGCTATCCTTTGCACAACCGCCGAGCTTTTTATCCAAAGCATCCATAGCGTTAACTTATCATCAAAAGCCTCAATTGCAACAGCTCGTGAATCTTTGTCAGAAAGCCCCCGTGCACCACACAATGGCATCAGCCTCGGCTGTAGTAAGATCTAGAAACTCGAGGTTGAACTCCCCGTACGCGATTGGCCCGGCCCCTGCTTTAACACCTATTTTGCCCTCCGCCTAGGTTTCAGTGTCAGCTTCATCCACGTGGTAGTGACCTCTGGCGAGTCCGACAAATTGTGCATAATCAGGATCTCGGCTGTAAAACATAGGAAACCCAGCTGTAGCAGCTGCTGTGTACCCCTCATGTACCCCCGATGCGGGCTGAGTAGACAAGCCGCGGCTTATCTCGCCATCAAAAGCCGAGTACTCCATGCAGCTGGGATTGGCACTCGTTCCAGGCGGACTACGGTATTATTTTTTTGCCGTTGCCCTCACCTTTCATGCCATCGATGATGCGAGGGAGATTGACGAGGTTGGGGTCGGAACATGAGTCAGCTAAGTTGATTGAGTCACTTTGAGCTGGTTTCTTCATTTTGGTCCTTTAACATGACATTACTTTGTAGGGTTAATGAATTAAAGCAACTATGGTTGTGGGGGAAATTCTTAAACATTGACAAAGTAATTTGCGTCAACCATCGCATTAGTTGTTTGGTTCTTATCAGCATCGCTGTTGATGTCGAAGGAAACACTCATGGGCTTAGACGCAACCTGTTGCTCAAAGTGGAACAGATTGGAGATGTCAGACTTATTCATCGCAGCATCTTTCTTGTTGAGGTGCCGGAACCGCGTGAGTATTGAGGATGCTCCGAAGCTGGGAAGGAAACGCCGTTTTAACAACAGCCAACATTCTGTTTATTATTTGACTATTTTCTTGTTCTATTCATATTTAAAACTTGGGTCATGTCTGACTAACAGTAATATGAAAAGCAGGCGTCAAACAAACTTGTGTTGTTCTCAAAGTCTCTGTGTCGACCTTCTTAAGATACGGAACAGTAATCCTCAAGGTGTATGGATATCCATTTGCCCTTTTCGACGCCAAGGAGACGCCAAAGAGGGCTTCTGGGCGCACGGATCAGTCCAGTGGCTTCAGAGGGGACTGAACCATCGTGATAGTCTTATGAGACCGAACTTTCTTGATGTCTTGATATCTGCCTATGCGACTATTGAGTGGTTGGAGAGATCCAGGCCACGCTAAGGCTTTAGGATGGCCAACTAGGCGCCACTCTGCCTATGAGGACTCAGCGGAAGTGCATTCTGACATTATGGTTCAAGAACAATAGGATCCTAGTATAGCAACGAGTGGCTGCTGAGCTTATGAGCCGTATCAGGTTTAATTTGTGCTCAGGCATGGTATTCGACACTTTTATAAATGCTAAACTAGAGAAATATTATGGCGTGTTCCACTGTAAAAGATTTCCAATGTAAACATTTTCTATACTGGACTTTTCCACCCCGCTTCAAACGTGATGGTAATAGTAGGCGATCCGTGGCTGGCTCGTTGTAATTGACGCTACAGTGTCAAATGGGTGCTGTGATGAAGCCCTTAGACATAACTTCGTTAATTCCTTGTATCCATACATTTGCCATCTTGACATATCCTGCGTCATTCGGATGTCTGGTATCCGCGAGATCGTTGACAGTTGGTGCATCGGGGCTGCGCATATCGACTAGAGCGAACTTGGCGCCCGACTGCTGCATTTGTGTCGCCAAAGCAGTGTATTGCGTGTTGATGTTGACTCGACAAGCGTCTTGCTTCGCGATCTTGTTGGCAAGTATAGACGTGAGTATCACAGTCGATCCTGGACTCTGCTGATAGATGTTGTTTATCATGGCAGTAACGTTCGCTCTTGCGTCGGGTACTTCCCCGCCTTTGTTGCAGTTGTTGGTGCCCGCATCGACAAGTACGAGATTTGGCTTGAGCAAGGGCACAGCCTGATTTGCCGATGCAGCGATTTGGTCGATTTTGAATCCTGGAGTCGCCTCGACTGCGTTATTGGTGAAATTTCCATTTGTTTGTGTACCAACATATGTGACGTTTATACCCTTGGCGACGAGGAGGTCTTGAAGATCCTTGCGGTAGCTATCGCCGGTGGTTGACCCTACACCAAACGTCACTGAGGCGCCCAGTGACATGATTCGTAATGGTACTGCAGGTGCTGCCGCCTGTCTAGGCGCCATAGGATTTGCTAGCACGCTGGCTGCGCTCAGGCTCACAACAAAAGGAAACCACATATTGGAAGCCGCCGCCTGGGCTGAGAGGTATGGCTGATTGAACGGGTAGATAGAACCAATGGATTTGATACAGAACGTTTCTCCAGTTAATTTCTAATTAGTCGAAGGGAAACTTATAAGGTGAGGGTAGTCGAGGTTCGGCTATTGTTGCCGGTTTGGCTGATGTCTGATACTTGCACGGAACCGGACCTAGTTTCATCCCCAGCAAAACTGTAACATGAAGCTGTCTCCCTGTCGTCCTCCGCCAATCGTTTGAATGCACACGCCAATATAAAACAATTACCTGCTGTAGTTGCTTGCTAAGCATTAGCACTTCGGCAAAAGATAATCATAGTTTTATTAATATAGATAGAAAGGTGCTATCAAATCCAAGGATATGTGATTATCTTTATTCCCCGCTCAGTTCGATATTTTGACACTCATGCCGAATCATCAGTAGGTATCGGGTATCAGGATCTTAGATAATCAATAACATAAATATCTACTATTCGGCAGAACGGCACAAGACGGGCGCTGAGCTTAACCTGTTAGTAGCGACAGCTTACATTGGGTTATCGGGTTTCCCCTGTGATGCGTCTTATCCCTTGCAACACAAGCCTGACATTTTCAGACGAATGTTGGTTAGGAGATGATGGATCCGTCCCCTCATCTCACAGGGATAGACCTTCTAGTGTATTAAGTAATGGCTTCACACTCACACGGTGTGCAAAAAAACTCGTACACTTTAGCACTGCGTACTAACAACTCCAAATATTGGGAAGACTTCTATTGAATAACAGGACAGCATGTGAAGACAATGAATTCTTAAAAAGACACAATGTACTATTTTGAATTGAACGTATTTTACTATTATTCTATTTCAATTTTGTAAGTCTCTTGTAGTAATGTAGCTGGACTGTAAGTGCATACTTTTTAGGTGTACGGGTTTTTGTGCAAACCGGGTGGCACTCTCCTTTTGCTTTGACTCAAGAAGCGATAGGCTCTAACATCCTAGATCCGTGAGCAGCAATCCCAGCAAGTCACACGTGGCTACTTGCCAACTGATCTTCGCCTTGAAAAAGACTTAAAGAGGGGACAAACTTTAAATGATAGGGTGGGTTCAAGCACACCTCTAGGACAACTTGCGAAGATGAGACGTCTGCTTGTAATGGTACGGCTCCAATTGGTACCCGCATGGCCATCTTTCTCATCACAGCAAGTGCATTAGTGGGGAGGGGAAGCAATAGAAATAAGAATAAATTTTGAATATGATAGATAACGCAAGATGGCCCGGCCATGATGTAATACAGTGTCGAAGAGAGGCTCATCGTCTGCGATGTGGTTTGTAGCGGCAAGGAGAGAGTCGCTGGCGCCAAGAAGTAAAAACTCCGATTTCTCCGATATCCCATGCGTTCATCTGAAGCGGGCAACAGCCGACATATCATCCTAGTTTGGTGTGGAAATCGTACCCGACCGACGCCTACTACGTACTCGATCAACAGTATTAGCTAGGCGCCAGGAGCAATCCATTCGCGAAACTCGAGAGCTATCCATGTCCATCAAAGCAAACATGACCATAGTACGTGCTTTCTTCTGACTAGTACAGAATCAGCATGCTGAATGTCATCAGCACTGCAGCAAGAGAGGGTCCACCGAATGACCGATGACAAGCAGCTGTTGCGCCATTTCGACCATGATCACCGAATGGCTCGTTTGGTTCTGTATTTTTGAGAGGGATGAGATTTCCCCTCAGAAACAAATCCCTCTCCCCACCGGTCGACTTCCAACCTTGGTTTACGTAGCACCGGAGAGTCTCCGATGCGGAGAGCGCGGGGTAGACCGGAGTCACCCCGGCCACCCCGCTTCCAGTCGTTCAGGTTGACAATTGGCTCATGGTTGGTTGATCGCAACGCAAGATTCGGTATTCTTGTTGTGATTACTTGTCAAAACACATTAAGCGATCTCGCCAAATCTTTGGTCTAGGCTAATGTCGAGTCATGAATCCGCAAAATGCATGCTGCCTTTCTGCAGCGCGTTGTGAATAGGACCGATTAATCGGGACCCATCTCGGGCTCTGCTTCACCGGATGACGTCCTTCGGTTCTTATTTTCGGGACAAGAACAAGATAAACCAGTACCCTGTTGGCTTGAATTCCATAAAAGCAACAGCTGGTTATTTCTCATGTTTATTCGATGCTTGCCAACGAATCTATAGGGACTCGTCAGTTGCACCTTAGCACGACTTGCGCGGTTTGGTGCGACTTGAAGCTCAGTGTGATGATGAAGATCACAAACTCTTTTTTCGCCATTGCCTTCACTGGCGCTGTGGCTACCGCTCAGACAAGCGGTTCCTCTTCTCCATCCGAAGTGCCCTATTATGGACGCAGTCCGCCAGTATACCCATCCCGTACGTTACTCAACTCCTTAATGGTATAACCTCCGAATTATACTGATTTCTGCTCAGCGATTGGCAATGGTTCCAGCGATGTAAGATGGGCCGCCGCATATCGCCATGCAAGAGCACTAGTGTCACAGTTGACTGTCGAGGAGAAAGCCAACATTACTCGAGGATGGAACGGCACTTGCGTCGGTAAATCAGGTGAGGTGTCTCGATTGGGTATTCCAGCCTTGTGTTTCGCCGACGCACCTGATGGGATCCGCGGGCAAGAATTCGTCTCTGCCTTCCCGGCGGGCATTCATGTCGCTGCCACTTTCGATGAGGCTCTTTTGTACAAGTATGGCAAGGCACTTGGCGATGAGTACTACGGCAAAGGGATCAACGTGGCGCTTGGTCCTGCTGCCGGTCCTCTTGGCAGGGTTGCTCGCGGCGGTCGAAACTGGGAAGGTCTTTCTTCCGATCCATACTTGGCCGGCGTCGGCATGGGCGCAATCACTCGTGGAATACAGGACGCAGGAGTTATTGCTACAGCGAAGCACTGGCTCCTGAACGAACAGGAGTACCGACGCCGTGTGTCGGATCTAGGCGAAGCCATCAGCTCTAATGTAAACGACCGGACTCTACATGAGCTCTATGTTTGGCCTTTTATGAACTCCTTGAGAGAGGGTGCTGCATCCGTCATGTGTTCTTACCAGAGAGCCAATCACTCATACGGGTGCCAGAACTCAAAACTCCTCAATGGCATTCTGAAGACCGAACTTGGATTTGAGGGGTTTGTGGTCAGCGACTGGCAAGGTCAAATGGGTGGCGTTGCATCCGCCAACGCTGGCTTGGATCTGGTCATGCCTGACGCTGGATTCTGGGGAGACAAGCTTATCGAAGCAGTCAACAACGGCTCAGTCAGCGAAGATCGACTTTCCGACATGGCGACAAGAATCCTCGCCAGCTATCATTTCCTCCGCCAGCAACATGCTTTTCCTCAGCCTGCCGTCCATTCTAACTTACAAAAAGAGTTCCCTGTTGACGTTCAAGATGATCACGCTAACTTGATTCGCCAAATTGGAGCGGCTGGGACTGTTCTGGTCAAGAATGTGAACAACACACTTCCTTTCAAGAGCCCGAAATTCCTTTCTATCTATGGGTACGACGCGACCGTCAAGGCGAATCCTTGGGAGAACCCTAGTCGGTACGGTGGCGGGTACGAAGTCAATTTTGGCTGGGAAACATTCAACGGAACTCTTATCACCGGAGGCGGTTCTGGTGGAAGCACTCCCCCTTACGTTGTTTCGCCATTCCAGGCAAGTCAGGAGCGTATTTCTAAGAATCGCGGTATTCTTCGATGGGACTTCTATTCTGGGAACCCCTCACCACCTTATGTCAACTCGGAAGCTTGCCTTGTCTTCATCAACGCCTACGCATCCGAGAGTTTTGACCGGTTGAGTTTGACGGATGAGTTTAGCGATAATCTTGTCCGAAACGTCGCTACAACCTGTTCAAACACGGTGGTTGTTATTCACTCAGCAGGTAGGTGGTTTACGGAGAAATGTACCTATATTGTTTGTTTGGCACTAACGAAACCCAGGTATACGCATCGTGGACGCCTGGGTTGACCACCCTAACGTCACCGCAGTTCTCTTCGCGGGACTTCCCGGTCAGGAGAGTGGACACAGTCTCGTTGATGTCCTCTGGGGCGATATAAACCCTTCCGGAAAGCTACCGTACACTGTGGCAAAGCAAGAGTCGGATTATGGCAACCACTTGAACTCAAGTGCTTCAGATGATTTCTTCCCAGGCAGTGATTTTACTGAAGGTCTTTACATCGATTACCGTTATTTCGATGCGCAGAACATCACTCCCCGATACGAGTTTGGTTATGGTCTTTCTTACACCACCTTCAGCTTCGCTGATTTGTCAGTTGGCTTAACGTCAGATGCCGACATATCAGAATATCCAGATCCGGCCACTCCCATTGTTCAGGGAGGCCACCCATCTTTATGGGAGGCTGTTGCGGTTGCCAAGGTCTCTGTCTCTAATACGGGCCACGTGGACGGGGCGGAAGTCGTTCAACTCTATATCGGAGTTCCGGGAGATGACAGCCCTGTCAGACAGCTTCGCGGCTTCTTGCGTGTATTTCTGACTTCTGGACAAACTAGCAGGGCTGCTTTTCAGCTTACTAGGAGAGATCTTAGTATTTGGGATGTTGAAGCTCAACAATGGCGCTTGCGAAGAGGCGTATACTCCATTTGGGCCGGGTCATCGAGCAGAAATCTGTCGTTGCAAGGCAGCCTCGAAATCAACTAACATCTTTTAAATATATCTAGATATGTCTCGGCCGAGAAATGAAGGGAAAGAACATTTTAGCCTATTTGTATCAGCCATTCTCATTTTTGCGTAGCTGACAAGTTCAATTTCGATGCAAGTTCTATCCGTGGACAGCATTCTTCACATTCGACTGCTCGGAACACTTCTACGACAGGTGTTTTGAAACATAAGTACCCGATTCATGGTTTTCTTGTATGCATTTTCACATATACTACTGTTGATGAATTCCATCGATCCTTTTCGTGATGCTGGTAAGTTGGGCAATTTCCGTTCCACTGTGCGCCCTCGAAAAGCATTGCTGAAGGGAAACATCGGTCTCAAAAACGCAATGGGTCAATTAGTTGAGGTTCAGCAGTGTTCTGTCTTCCCACCACGGCCCGTAGCGTTGGTTTCTAATGCTCGCTATCGTAGAGAAGGTTTGTAAAGAAGTTTTGAAACTGAACCTACACGAAACTCATCGCGAAATCCACTATCGTAACACGATTGTGGTTCATAATGGGCAATGAACAACGGGTCTCTTCAAGGTTTTAGGGAAACACCAGCTTCAGTGGCGACCTAGAGGTGCGGGCAATTACTCTCTTCCCTTCATTAGTATAACCCGTTGATCAGTGGAAGAGTCTAGATAAAATTCAATACATAAGCCTTACGGGTGGCACAAAAGAATCATCAAGTGATAAATACATGATCTTAACAATTGACAATCTTATCCTTCAAAGGTCATGTCGAAGACATCATCATTCATTCGTTCACTGTCCTGGGGCCTTAGCTTAACACAGCCATTTATACGAAGGCTGAAAGCAACCTACTAGCCACTCGACACCCCTAGCACTTGTATTGATGGTTAGTGTCTCTTGCCTCGCAGAGGTGGCTGACTAAACTGAGCGAAGCGAGCTTAGGTGTGACCCCTCAAAGAAATGGGTTTCAATCCATTTTATTCCGCGCTAGCAAACAGCTCATAATAATCACAAAAGTTTCCCTATTCGCAGCTTCTCTGTTACAAACATCATCATGGAACCCTCACGCTCACAGATTGATATTGACGCTAAGAAAATCTACAACTACCATCGCATGGGTATGTCCCTGAGTCCCGCCACAGCCATCTTCTGTTTGTGTAGTCTCGACAAACGTGTCGCGACACGTGCTGCACAGCTATTCCTCGATGGGTACGGAGAGTATCTCATCTACTCCGGTGGAGTCGGCAAGTTGACGGAAGATCGATTTACTGAGCCTGAGGCTGAGGTTTTTGCGGGCATAGCGAGGCAACTGGGTGTGCCGGACGACAGAATCATTGTGGAACCGCGATCAAGTAACACAGGCGAAAATGTCCAATTCACCCATGCACTTCTAAAACGCCGAGGATTGGAAATAAAGAGCTTTGTGCTTGTACAGAAGCCATACATGGAGAGACGGACTTATGCAACATTTCTTAAGCAATGGCCTGATGCGGGTACGAAATTCGCAGTGACCAGCCCAAAGCTGGAGTTTGAGGAGTATCCAGATGCGCAGAATCCCAAAGATCTGGTGGTCAATATCATGGTTGGAGATTTGGTCAGGATTCGAGAATATCCGAAGAAGGGGTTCCAACTCAAACAAGAAATCCCCGAAGAAATATGGGAGGCGAACCAGCGTCTTATTGCAGCTGGATTTGATGGTCATCTGCCTTGGTAAATGATCAATACTCCTTGGACTCTCGGCTAAACAATTTTCAATCAAATCTGAGTCGTCAGTTTTCTAGATAAGTTCGAGTATCAAGGCCTGCATATACACATAGTAAATTCTGAATTTAGTACAAATGCAGACCCAATTGCACTATCTATTCTTCATCGGGAGTTGCGAAGTCTGTCCTCGCTCCTCGGGCGATCTCGTCTTCGGTAAGGACTCTGATGGCGAGCATTGCCATACCCTTGGCACACTTGATAGCCGCCTTGTGTGCCTCATCAGTTGCTGCTGCTGCTGCGAACTTAGGATTATGGCCCGCCACATCAGGTGATGTTGGAATCACAAATGCGCCATGGAAACTGGGCACGAGATGGGAAACGTTGCCCATGTCAGTAGATGCATTGAATGCTTTCTCTTGGTGAACCTGGATTGTCTCTCCGATGGCCGCCATGTCCTCAACATAGGCCTTGCAGAGTGTGTCATTGGCACGTAAATTCATGTATGTTGGCGCCCTTTTTGATATTGTCAGCAAAGTCTAAACTAGATGGTGTTGTTGTGAATCCTTACACAATGTAGCTGATTTCGCAGCCAGTTGCTGCTGCACCTGCCTCTAAACACGCTTTGACTCTTTTCAGAAGCGTATTGGCGCGATCGATGGTTGGGCTCCGGACATTCCAGTTCATACGGGTGTAATCCGTGATTACATTTGGGACGGTGCCTCCGACCTCGATAACGCCATGAATTCTCTCGTCGGATTGGATCTGTTGCCTCAGGAGGGCAACATTGTTGTAGGCTGCCACGGCAGCATCCAGTGCATTCAGCCCCTTCCATGGCTCACCGGCTGCGTGGGCTGGTTTACCGCGGAACTCGACTCGAAATTTGTGACTTGCAATCAGCTTAAACCCGGCCAATCCTGAAGATCCGTTCCCACTGCCGCCCTGATGAGCTGCAGTTGGATGGGCCATGATAGCGGCTGCTACATCCTCAGGTGGGTTAAAGGCTCCGGCGTCAATGAGCTTTGCTTTACCACCACCACCCTCTTCCGCAGGGGTACCCAAAATGCGCAATCTACCGGGAATCTTAAAGCTCGACAGAACATGGGCAGCTCCCAGGAATGCCGCAATGGAGGATGTTGCAATGAGATTATGGCCACACGCGTGTCCAATCTCGGGAAGTGCGTCATATTCGGCACACACAACAACTTGGCGGCCGCCCGAACCAATTTCAGCCTCAAAACTGGTTTCGAGGCCATAGGTGCGCTTCTTGACAGTAAAGCCCTGCTTTTCGAGGTAATTGGTGATGGTTTCGTGAGCGAAGTATTCTTTATAAGCGGTCTCTGGGTTGGCATGCAGCACTTTGTTGATTTGGTTTTGAAGTGACAAGTCGAGTTCATCTAGCCGTGAATTGATGATGCTACGGGCCTTCTCGACGTCGAAAGTTTCCCGTGATGCTTGGGGCGGCTGTTTGGCACTTTGCTCGCCCTCCGGAGCAGCGACTGGGATCTGGATGATGGACATGAAAAGTTCGTGAATATTGCGATATGTTGCAGTGAAGAACAAGGGAGATACTCTGACGTGGGACCGCCCTTTAAAACCAAACCTAGACTGGCGGGAAGGATACGTTTTTGATAATTACCTGCGGATGTCAGTAGGTTCTTGCTCGCCACTTCCATCCAAGACCACGATGTGTGGACAGTGTCATGGCACTAAGTGCGGAGACCTTCCAGCGAACAGACAGGGACTCTCCAACTGGAACATGGCTCCATTGAGTCTTCGGCGGCAACCGGTGCTTGGGTCTTGCCGACAAGCAAAGGCCTTGTTGAGCTAAAGATGCGGAGAGATAGCCGACGGTCGGCAAACACTTAGTATTTTCGCTTCGATAAACAATTCGCCATCTGCACCACACAATGTCATTACTAACAATCTGGCCAGCGATTTCCGGCGCGATTAATTACTCGTTCGTTATATCTTTTTGAAGGTTCCTGTGTCATGAAAAGCCGGTCACCTTTTTCTCATCGGCTATCTTGACAAGTCATTAGTCCACATCCATCCCTCTGCACTGGTCATTGTGTCCTCCACAAAACCCACTCGAAGCGCGTCTCGCTCTCAGACCTAACAAAGTGTTGCTGAATTTTCAGCTGCTGCCACTCAGTAAGACAATCCCCTAGCTCCTAGCCTCCACTTTGGCTTTCCTAACAAAACCCACTGCCAGCCGATAGAGCCGACGCCGACCCAGCTGGTAGACGACCACCAATGAACAGCTCTTCCTCCGAAGCTGATGGAGGTTCTCTCGAAAGCACAAGTGTTGCTTTGACCGACGGTGCTGCGACTGACATTGTCGGCAACGATGAACGCCCGCACCAGGACGCCGCCCGATTTGTGCATTCCGCAGCCACAGCGGCAACACGCACGGGCGAAGGCCGAAGTGGACCGCGTTCCAGGAACGGATGTTGGACCTGCCGCACCAAGAAGGTGAAGTGCGACGAGCAGAGGCCCAACTGTCATCGTTGCTCCCGTTTGCGGCTCCTCTGCGATTATGCACCCCGCATCAAGGTTACCAAGAGAGGCCAAACGCGCAAGGATCAGTTTGTGTCGTCCCAGCTTGCCGTCTCGTCGGCAAAAGATGGTAGATCGCCCGGCTTGCCGACCTGGGCGCAGGCTGTCGTCACTAGATCTGACCAGTCCAAGGCTCTATTGCTCTTCAGTCCATCGGCACCGACTTTTGGGGCTTGCTTTCTTGATCTCTCGTCGGCTGATCACGAAGCAATTCGATACTTTCGTACTTCGTTTGCCAAGCAAAACCATACGAAAAATCCTGATTTTTCGTTATACTCAATCATGTTTGACATCGCCCAGACCGACTCTATGGTCATGCACGTGATTCTGGCCCTTGGCGGACGGGAGTTAGAATTCCGGCGGAATAAGGACGCCGAAGAGGCTCGAGGTCCAAGAACACCCATTCAGCACTACTCTTCTGCTCTCCGGATGATGGCCGATACCATTGGTGGAGAGGACGATGGCCAGCTGGACCTCGACGCCGTATGTACAGCGTTGTATCTTATGCTGATGTATGAGCAAAAGTACGGCGACGGCAAATGTCGGGGTCTCTCCAATCACCTCGTGGGTGCGAGCCTAATATTGCAACATCGATTCAAAGACATGCTGCTCCAGCTGCCGGCCCCGTCACCCGAGACCAACCGAAGAAGTCTGGCCTTAACGAGAAGGGGCCACGATGAAAGCGGCTCGCGTCTTTCGCTTTACTCGGCGCGAATTCTAGTCTGGATTGCCCTCCACGATGCAGCGGCTGCAGCATACGGTCTCGGCGGCCAGCTGAACTGTGCGCTGCACAAGATCATGGGAGCACTAGACAACCATGCAACCAGCGGCATCTCCAGCCCGGTTCAGCCGCTGGATGCCTTTGAAAGATTACATCGCTTCTCTAACCCACTGTACCGGAGCATGTGGGCTGACACGTATCCCCAAGCAGAGCTGCTTGACGATGTTGAGAACCGTAACGTATATGCCCTTTTAGGTGCTTGTGGTCAATTACGGTTCATGATCGCCCAGCTTGCGAATCTTTCTCACGAAGACAATAACGCATCACACCAGCAACGCATCCAGGCTGTAGACATGACCATCCAGCAGGTCGGATGGAAATTCACCGAGCTGCTCGAGGTTGCGGCAGAGCTCTCCATCAATACAGACAACTCTCATCGTTTAGTAGCGAACATCCGCGGCATTGTACCCCACTACCATGCCGTTGTCCTCGAGTTTATGCGTTTGACGCGCTTCAACGACACCCCCATGCTTTCAGGCCGCCAACGGAACGCTCTGCGAGAGATTATGAACCTCGCCTTCCAGGCCTTCAAGCATGAGGGAGACGAGTCGATGGCTCGCATTGCCTGGCCGCTTTTTATGGTCGCCCTTGAGACAGACGACCTTCTACATCGCGAATGGGTTCTCAGCCGATTCCAGGGAATGAGTTGCTTTGGCAAAAACCTTGACCGAGCTCATGTCTTCCTCAAGGAGACCATAGAAATTCAGGCTCGTCTAGGAAGACGAGTCGATGTGCGCGAGCGCTTCCAGTCTGGCGAAGTGGGTCTCTTTGTTATCTGAGCCTTGATTGTATTCCCGGTTGTATTCCGGCCTCCACGATCAAGCGAAGTATTTTCCCTCACCTGTTGTCTTCTTCTGACCAATCTTGGTGCATTCCTCGGTGATTTGCCAAGAAGATAGTCGTGGAAGTATCCCCACAATGGTATAAAGTAGCAAGGCTAGTGGCACCAGATGCGTGGATCGGCTATCGTCTCTTCCGAGTAGGGGTCGGCTATCAAGCATGCATTGTCTATCAGCGCCGGCTAAAGACTCAGTATGGTGGCAGTGGCAGGAACACGGCTCTCGTACACTGAAAGATAGCATATCTGCTGATGCATCTCATTGGTGCTACAATCTTGTGCTTGCTGGCCCGATAATTAGTGGCACCTTCTCACGTATTATTAGCCAGCTTCGGATACCCATCGGTCTGGATGTCTTGGAGTGGCTCTCTAGTGTTGAGACAGCGTTGACTGACTTATAAGCCTGCCTATGGCTGTCTTCGTCCTTGCTCCGACTGTTTTTCAACCATTTTCGCCTGAGAGCTTATTTTCACGACACTTTAATCCAACTCTGTATCCTTGATCACTACTTCAAGATGTCAGAGAGATCGGAGAAAGCATCTGTCAAGGATATTAGTCAGGCCGATAAGACCTTGAAAGACATCGGCGAGGCTTTCGTCTCGGCACAAGGCCTGAGCCCTGAAGAAGACTGGAGAATTCTTCGAAAGATTGATCTATGGTACGAGTTAATACCTGGCTGAGTGTGGATATTAAGGAGGGATTATGCTGATTTAGTACCACAGCCTGTTGCCTGTCATGGCCATGTCATACCTATTTCAATTTCTTGACAAGTCCGCGTTAAGTTATACGGCCATCATGGGCTTACGGGAAGACATGCACCTCAGTGGCTCGGAGTATTCTTGGGCGAGCAGTATATATTACTTTGGTTATCTTGTCGCTTCTTACCCGGCAGGTGTTCTGATGGTTCGTCTACCTGTTGGCAAGGTGATTGCAGTGTCGGTGTGAGTTATCTCCCTTGCTCTCTTCACCCTCTTTAGGGATACGTGGCTAATTTCTTCAGCCTCGTCTGGGGTGTCATTCTGATGTTCACTGCGCTTTGCTCCAACGCTGGAGGCTTGCTGGCAAATCGCATTATGCTAGGCGTCGCTGAGGCTGCCATTGCTCCTGGGCTAAGCATCGTGATCTCCATGTGGTATAAGCGCTCAGAGCAGCCTCTTCGACACGGTGCTTGGTTTCTAGGCAACACGATTGCGGGTATATTTGGAGGTATCGTGGCATATGCCATTGGACACATTGAGAGCATTGCTCCCTGGAAGGTAGGTTGAATTGCCCAAGCTCGTATCACTTCTTACAATATTTTCTAACTCTTCGCCTGTAAGTCAAGTCACCCACTTCTGGGCACCCCACCCATGTGGGCACCCACAAAACGAAGCTATCGCAACAACACCACCCTTTTCAATTGACTATCGCCGAGGCCCAGATGCAACTATGATACAGCTTTCTGCCTCACTAGGGCAATCAGATGTACTGGATTCATCTATGTCAATTTCAGCATCACTAGCCTTGATCTAGGCTTATTGTATATCGCTAATGTTAGTAAACTTAGTGTTAGGGTCTATTTTGATAGTCTTCCTTTTTTTTGCTATAGTATTACTAACTTAGGCTTAGAGAAGCTGTATCTAGTGCTAGGTAATAGCTAGCTAAAAGGACTACTCTTAGAAGCTTTTTTTAACTTTTCTAAAGAGTTAATGTTATATAGTAATACTTTAATTTAGCTTATTAAATAAATCTAGTTAACTATTAAGGTCCCTTATCTTTCTAAGCGTAGATTATGTAATAGTAGATAAAGTAAATACTTATCCCTTTATATCTTAGGCATCTTAGATACCTTAAGTACTTTAAATAGCCTTATTAAGTAGTATTACTAGTATTATTACTTTAAGTAATAGTAAAAAGCTTATAAGAGGTTTATTTATAATAATAAGCTATAGTTTAGTATATTTCTAGCTACTTAGAATATTCTTTTTTATTAGCTTAGCTAAGTATATTAGCTAATAATAAAATAAGAAATATTTTTTACTTACTATAGTTAAATTATTCTATTAGTTAAGGTTAGGCTAGAGCCTTTTGTAATAAGCTGTTTTAACTAGGCTAAAGACTAATTAATTTAGTAGTTAAAGAATATAAGAGGTATATAGTAATAAGAATAATAAATAAATGTTATTAATATAGTATTACTATATAAATTCTGTTATTATATAGCTTTTATACTTATCTAGGACTAGTAGTTTAGCTTAATTAGGCTAAGAGAAAGTAGTTTATAGTAAAAAGACTTTTAGTAGCTACTTAATAGTAGTCTTATTAGTTATCTATTTATTCTCTATTACTATAAACTTTTATTTATTATAAAGGCTAAGATTTAAAAGAAACTACTACTACTAAATTATTTTGCCCTTATATATTATAAGAGGATATAATACTAGGCTATTAGCTAAAATACACTTAATAATAAATACCTAGGCTTATAATTTAAGCTATTTTTTATATATAGACTTTATCTCTGCTTTACTTAGCATTAACTTATTTACTTTTTAACCCTTAAGAATACTAGTCTTATCTATATTATATCTATTAGCTAGCTAAATAGCTAATATTAATAGGATTATAAGATATTTAAACTAGTCCTTAATAATCTTAGTAGATACCCTATTAACACGTCTAGAATTAATAGATTAACTTCTCTAGACCTTAATAGATAAGTTTCTTTATACAAAGGCATCTATCCATCTCTTCCCTAGAGGCTAGGTATTACCCATAGCATAGAGGATACGCTAAGCAAAAACCTTAACTTGTTAATACGTTAACGCAAGCCTAAGGTCAGCCTATATCCATACCTAATTAGCTAGCTTAGCCTCTTGACTAATAGAGAGCCGCTGGAGGTCAGCAAATGCGATATCTCTAAGTTAAATACCCTTGAGGCGATTCTGAAGTGTTAACCGAGGGACGCCCTATTTCTTAGATGTTACCTGGACAGGGACGCTGTTGGCAATATCCCTAAGAGCCTTACTAACCTCATACTCGGTATATTGACCCATAGGGTATAGAAGAAGGTATCTGCAAAAGATGAAGTGATTTAGATAAGGGATGAAAATGTTGTGATAGTTTGAAGTGGGAGGCTGGTCATGGTGTTGAGGGATTTTTGGGGTGCCCACATGGGTGGGGTGCCCAGAAGTGGGTGACTTGACTTACAGGCTGTTTTCCTTATCTTCGGCGGCACTACCGCTGCATGGTCGTTCGCCATCTTCTTCCTTCTGCCTGATACCCCAACCAAGGCAAGATTTCTCAATGAAGCCGATCGCATCAAGGCTGTTGAGCGTGTCGAGGAAAACCTAACAGGCATCAAAAGCGACAAATTCAAGTGGTACCAGTTTGTTGAGGCGATGACAGACGTCAAGGCCTGGCTGCTCTTCACCATTCAGCTCAGCGCTCAGATCGCCAATGGTGGCGTTCACGGGTTCGGGTCCATTGTTATCAAGGGCATGGGTTTTAGTACGCTCAACACGCTTCTTGTTCAAATGCTGGGCTCTGTCTTCCAGTTCGTCTTCGTTCTCTTGGCGACTGGCGGCAGCACGTACTTCCGCAATAGTCGCACTTATTGGATGGCGTGGAATTTGGCAATTTCGATAGCTGGCGCAGCTATGGTCCGACAGATTAACTCAGAGCTGAAATGGGCACGCTTCATGGGCTATTGTCTGACTATCGCTTACAGTGCCAACTTCCCTATGATTCTGTCCATGTCATCCGGTAATTTTGGTGGATTTACCAAGAAGACGACCGTTAACGCTATGGTATGTAAAGCTCCGTTTGACACATGTTTCCAGTACGCTGACTAAACCTACAAGATCTTTATCGCATACTGCGCCGGGAATATTATCGGACCACAGCTTTTCTTTGAATGGGAGGCACCTTCTTACAGCTCTGGTTTCTTGGCCATGTTGATTTGTTATGGAGTAGGCGTTCTGATCTGCTTTGTCCTTCGGTATTATCTCATTTGGCAGAACAAGCGACGAGATAGCGTTGGGGATGTGCTTGATACAAGCGTCGGAGGCCACGTGCCTCTTAACCTGATGGACAAAACAGACAAGGAAATTCCGCAGTTTCGTTATGTTTATTAACACGTGCGGAAGATACGTCTGCAAGACACAGCGCGAGAGCGTCACTTGTTCATTGCCGAAAACCAAGTCCTGTAATTCGAGTCCTGCTTCTATAGGCGGCTTCAGCAACATCATCAAGAACTACAATGAAATCTCGACCACTCCAGGTCCCAGACGATAGGTTTCTCGCTTCTTAAAGCCCGCCAACGATTTGTCGCAATCATGACATCTTTGCAACCCTTGAGTAGGAAGCCCCATTTTGCGATAAACTTTTCAGTGACCTCCCATCCATCCGGACGCCAAGGATCTGACCAAGCAATAATGCCGGGTTGGTCAAGGCATGAATCACCATTTTGACAGCCAACAAGATCGCTGCACAAGTCGTGATGATCAAAGTTTGCACGAAACTTGATCGCATTATCATGTATTGTACCGGACGGGAAAACGTCAATCCAATGTTCATAGGGCGTAGCCAGCACGGAGGTGGTTGTAGTGGTCCCAAGACTCGATCGTGCAGTCCAAGATCGATTTCCAGAACGCGTCGGAGCTTGAGGCCGCCTCATTCATTTCGAGGATCCGCGCTTTAGATAGCTTGTGGCCAAGTGATACGGAACCTTGGGGCCCCGGACCCTTTCCATCGCGTGGCGAAGCGGTCCGGTCACCTCCCTGTTCTTGAGGAATACGGCGATCTCATCCACGACGGTCTGCATCCCGTCGTTCGAGTGGGCGCTGAGGCCAGGCGTGTCGACGATCCTGATGGTCCAGTCACCCGCCCATTGCGCTGTGACAGAGTCCAGATCGCGCCTCACCTTGTCGACGTAATCCTCCCTCTGGGCGTCTGGAACCAGGTCCTGCTTGTTGAGAAGGATCCACATGGCGTGGCACTCGATCTCGTTTCGTATGGAGGAAAGCAATCTGGAAAGCTCTTCGACGACTTCAGGGAGTCGGTCTTGGTCGTTTATGTCAATGACGAGGACGACGAAGTCTGCTTTCTGCGGGTGGCTGGAGCCCCAGGGTGTTCTGAACCTATTGCATCCTGTCGATGCGTTTCGTCAGCTCCGGCGTGAGGGTCTCGACAATCATATCGTAGAGTCGCCCAACTCGCTAGAGGCTCAGCTTTACTCACCTCCAAATGAAATGAGTTCATATGTTGACCCACTTTTGAACCTGAAGGTTTCGATGAGTTGGCCGGCGATGAAATTTGGCGGGACCCGTTCGACCTCCTTCACCCCTTGCGTGAAGCGATGCATTGTCGTCTTCTTGCCTGCAACATCGAGGCCAAAGATGAATGCACGGTGAGGGTCGAGCCCTTTGCGGCCAAAAGAGACTGATGGGATCAGTATGTAGTTCCATGCGGTTTATTGTTGAACTTACACATAGTGAAGTGGACTACTGTAGCTGGTTTCTTCAGGTATGAGGCAAGAAGAACTGAAGAGGAGTAGTGGAATACGTGTGACCGGGAGTTACCGCATTGAGAACGACAAAGAGCCTCTAGTCCCAGGGTGGAATGCTGCTATATAAGACTACAAGCGCCAAATACGTAGGACATGGCATCTATTCAATACTGTGAGACGTGTTCTTAATTGGCCGCAAACGCTCAGACGGGTTAATGATAGTCAGCCAGAATTGGCCCCAAAGGATGCAGGCAACAGCCAAGCCAGGTAGAGCGTCCGATCGCCCGCGCTCCTACAAGGCTTCCGCAGAGTCACGGGAGACCATGTTTCTGACAATGTGGCCTCAAGGAAAGCAGGAGATGGGGAAGTGAAAAGCGGAGTTATGTCAAGAATATGTACCAGTTCTGCGCGAAGGCTGTGGCCACGGACAGTACATGTAGTGAGAACTGAGCTGCAACTTTTGGCATTAACAGGGATTGGGGCAGAACTTGAATCTCACTCAGGAAACTTTCACGTCGGGGTTTTGTTCTGAAATGCCATAGTAAAGGTCATGATGTGTACTTTCCTTATGCCTGTAGTAGTGCCGAAGTCGTACCTCAACGTGGCGTCGCGAACGATTACTCCAGCCCAAGCAAATGATTCACCCTCGTCATCAGGTTTAAATCATCTTGCACCATGGAAAAGTAGGGACCTCGGCCCTGGGCCAGCAGCACCGCGGGGGTGTCGAATGCGACGAACAAGATCCTTATCGTAATGAAGCTAGATTTCTGTTAGAACACTCATGAAACCTCTGATGCCTAGGTATGAGTAAATAGAGATTGAACATACGGTCAAGTCCAGTCGATGCAAGATGGCCAACGTGGTGGTGTCTCAGGTTCTCACAGATGATATCGTGGCACCAGGCCTCGGCCTCAGCGTCCATGCCAGAGGCCGCTGGGAAATGATTAGATCTATGTTGGATGGATTGGTCAACGGAGGCTCTGCAGGAAAACGCACCTTCGTCTAAGATGAGAATCTTGGATTTCTGAAGGACTGCCCGAGAAAGAAGAAGCAGCTAGAGCTCTCCCTTGGACAGATTCATGCTTTGATGACTGTCAGTTTCGGGTGAAAAGAAACCACTGCTTTCAATGGTTTAGATATCTTACTTGGGGCCCACGATGTTATCAAGTAATGAAGTTCCTGCCTAGTCTTTGATCCCTGAGACCTTGTCGATGATGGCCGGCCCGCCGCAAACTCCCAACGCATCCATGATCTCTCCGTCGCGATGCAGGCCCAGAGGATCGAGATTGTGGCGAATAGACCCGGAGAAGACAATCTGGGCCTGGGGCATGAGAGCCAAGCTCCGGCGGAGTCGCACTGTCGTCACATGCGCAATGTCGACGCCGTCGATAAGAATCTTCCCGGCCGTCTGATGCATCAAACGCAGCAGACACATCACCGTCGAGGACTTGCCGACGCCGGTCCGTCCAACAACGGCAACCTTCTCTCCTGGGTTTACGGTGAAGCTGATTGACTGAAGAGAATCCGGTAGGCTCGGCTATTAACGGGCACTCACGTCCTGGAACTCGACTTTGCCAAACTGTGGCCAAGCCGGAGCCGGATCGCTGTCCGAGTACGGCGTCGACCCGTCACGCCCGGCAGGGAAACCGTCTTCTTCCCCGTCGACGGCGGGGGAGTACTCAGCAATGCGGGCGACGGAGACGGCGTCCGCCTCGAACTGGGCGCTGATTTTGGCGATGTTGCTCAGGGTGCCAGTGACCTGGAAGATGTAGGTCATGACGAACCCCAGCACGCCCTGATCGGCAGACCCGGCCAGCAGAAGGCCTAGCGGGGCGACCTGCAGGACGACGGACAGGACCTCGAGCTGGACGCCGAGCCAGAGGTCGATGCACGACAGCGGTCAGAGAGCGCGGACGTTGCGCGCGACGAGGTCGCCGAACGCCTCGACGCGGGCCTCGAGGACGCCGTGCGCGGAAAAGAGGACGCGGCCGCGCTCGGCCTCTTCGAGGTGGTTGAGGAGCGGCGCCCGGCTCTCGGCGTCGAGGTGGCGGAGCTCCCGTAGCTTGACGAGGTACGTCTGCTGGAGCGCGTAGCACGCGGCCAACAGCGGCGCGATGAAGAGGACGCTAGCGGGCATAGCGGCGACGAGGACGCCGCACGAAAGCGCCATGTTGACGAACTGGCAGGCGAGGGAGGCAACGGAGCCGTTCAGGGAGCCGTCGACGCGGGCGACGTCGTTGGTGAAGAGGTTCAGAATGCGTCCCGGGGGCGTAGCCTGGAAGAAGGACAGGTCGCGGTGGAGAACGCCGGATATGAGCCTGCCGTGCAGCGCGGAGGCGGCCGGGACAATGCAGAGCCGGTAGAGGAGGTGGACGAAGAGGAAGAAGAGAGCGGCCGCCTGGCTGGCGGAGAAGACTGCGAAGAGGAGGAGGCCCAGGGGAGGGTAGCCTGGTTGACCTGGGCAGCCATCGTCCTGAGGACGTAGGCGCCCATGACGGACGAGGCCTGGGCCAGGAGGGATACGGATATTGTCATGGGCCACCCGGATCTTCTGGCTGATAATAAGTAGGCGAGCAGCGGGCTCTTCTGGGCTGAGGGTGCTGGCTTCTCATGAATGATAGGTTGGGGAGTATCGGGATAGGTTCGTGTACTACGACTTCAGTCTCGGCAACCTGGACAAGAGGCGTCTGGGCATTCCAAGGTCAGTATAAGCTGGAAATGATTATGTACGTAGAGAACAACACTACCTTGTTGGGAGATGGGAGGGTATCCGAGATGTTCGCCTTCATATCGGCCTTCAACGCAGCCTTAATCGGCTCCTCGAGGCCATCGACGAGCTGGACATCACCATTACCCAAAGCTTTCCGTATCGTACTGTCTCCACTCTTGTACACGGAGTCGGCTCTGCGTACCAACAAGGCGTGGGACGTGCAGACGACCCTCGTCAATCCGTCGAGTAGCCCACCAGGAGCCAGTAGATGGCGCGTGATATGGCTTGCCACCTTGACGTCCAGCACCGCTAGGGGGTCGTCAAGCAGGTAGACCTCGGCCCGCGAGTACGCCGCCCTAGCGAGGCAAATGAGCGCACACTGGCCGCCGGACAAGGCCGACGAGCCGGCGATGACGGTGCCATCGCCGTCGCGGAGACGCGCGAAATCGACGTCGAGACAGCAGGCCCAGACGCTCTGGGCGTATCGCTGCGCGTCATAGGGCTTCCCGAACAGGATGTTGTCGCGGATGCTGCCGTGGACTAGGACGGGCTTCTGGCCGACGTAGGCGATCTGCAGGTGGCTCGAGTGCCGCCTCGCCCGCTCGACGTGCCGGAAGAGGGAGAGCAGGATGGTCGATTTACCGCAGCCCATGCCTCCCGTGATGGCGGTGAGTTCGTCGGTACCGATGGCCAGGGAGCCCTTTCTTATGAGCGGCGCCGCCGCGTCGTGCCAACCCACCTCCAAGTCGTGCGCAAGGATGAGCATGTCCGGGGACCAGCTCCGGGTAGTCGACGTCGCGTGAGCCCCCGGGCAGCGGCGATCTTGGTCTCCGGCAAGTTGAGGTACGCCTGTATGCGTTTGCTGGACGCGTGGACGCTCTGCACCGTCGACGCCAGGACGGAAAGCTGGCCCAGTGTCGCGTTGAGCATTGTGAAGAACATGATGGCGGCGAAGACGAGCTCGTTTGTCAGCGGCCGGCGCATCAGGAGGACGATGCCGAAGGTGGCCAGCGTCAGGGCGGCCGGCACCGTCTGCATGTAGGCGACCAGGCCGGAGGCCGAGATGGCGGCGTTCCGCAGGGTCTCGAGCTCCCTAGCGCGCCGTTCCGCGATGGACCGGACGAAGACGGGCTCCCACGCGTGCATCTTGACGCTCTGGATCGACTCGAGCACCTCGGCCAGCAGCTTCGCGCGGGCGTCCTTAGCGGCCATATTGCTCGAGATCCAGACGGCCATGGACCGTAGGAGGAGGCTCAGGACAGGTAACATGATTGCCTGTGTGCTGTCAGTTGATTTGTACTCGATGATATAATATGACTAGTGTTGACCGGGTTCTTTTGGTAAGAAGACGATGAACAACATACGATTAGAACAAGGATGGCGACGAACGTCGGGTAAGGCAGCAGCACAGCTAAGCCGCCCAGACAGAGAACGACCTGGACCGGCATGCTCCATGCGTCGGGAAAGCTTTGGGCGCAGCGGAAGAGCACCAGGGTGTCGACCTCGGCGATGGTCGAGAGGTCGGCAACGAGGGCGTCACCGTCGGGTTGGAAGTCGCCGAGGCGGAGCATCTTCCGGTGAAGCGCCAATGAGAGGGCGCTCCGGTACTGCACGGCGAGCTTCAGCAGGTGGTAGCCGCTGAAGTGTCCCGCGAGGGCCCCGGAGACACGGGAGCAGAACATGACCATGACATTAGCTGCCGTGGGGCGGGTCAGCAGCCGCTGGAGCTGCCAGGGGATCGCGAAGAAGGAGGCGTCGCAGACGAGGCGGAGAAGGGTGCTGACGAAGACCTGGCGGCGGTGCTCGCGCATGATGAAGCGCCAGTACAGGTGGGTTGCGGCATTCTCTGGCGAGGAACTGGCGTCTTCGACGAGCCGTGCCTCGTACTCTTCTGACGGAGCGAGCGCCGGGTTCTCTGGGAGGTCGCCCAGGCGAAGGACATCCTGGACTTGGGTGATGCGGTTTCAGTCAGCTGTACGACAGCTTCTCAAACAGGCTATTCTGTGTCGAGCTAGAGGACACCGTCGTTCCCTTTGGTCGAGAACAGGGACTGGCGTGGAAGACATCGAGAAGAAACGTCGCAGCCAGGACCCAGGGGAATAGACAGTTCAGTGGAAGAGGGGGGCGAGGCAGAGAGGAGTTGAAGAACGTCCACGTCAAAGAGCCGTTTAGATGGTAGGCTCCTCTGACTGCCGATGGCTGGCCGAGGAGGAGGGTCAAGACGTTGGACAGGGCCCCGATGCATGAAGCAGATAAGAGGAGTATGATACGCGTCCGTACCTGCGACTCGGGTTGTTGTTGCAAGAGCACCAGACTATGAACGCAGTACGCCGCAATGCATATTTGGAGAGTGTGGTGAGTGAGCCGACTATACAAGGGCGATGTATATATGTGACTAAGGGGTTGAGACTTACGATTTTAAAAAGCTGGATTCTTCCAAAGGGCCGAACGAGTTGGATTGCCGGTTGTCTCCAAGGCCGGATCAAGACGGTGTAAGTCAACAAGCAGAATGTCGAAACCAGTTGAGTGAACCTAGGTCACAGATCAGCGAGGGCCCTACCAACGTAATCAAGTTGATGGATTGTCCTCTTCTCACTCCCTAGAGCGCACGTTAAGAATGATATCTCGTAAGTACTTACACGACCACGTAAGAGGATACCGGCGGCCACAGCGATTCGGCCGACAACGGACTCTGAACTTGGTCGCCGAGACCAAACATCTCACCTGAGTCCAGTCCTTTCTCTCCATCATAGGAGTCTCGGACTGAAGGACAGAACAGCGTTATCAACCCGTACTAGCGCGAGTCGTCTCAGTCATATCAGGTCATATCAGTCAATCAGTCATACCAGAGAAAGCCTCTCATGATTGGCGTGAATCAACACCCAGGGGATGACACGGTGACGCGCCTCTCAAGACCCAAGAAGACGGACATAGTCAGGAAACGGACGGGGTGCCAGAGATGCAGGAGCAAGAAGCGAAAGGTGGGAGTTTCCTCATACTTTTCTAGTACCGACGGCCTCAGGATATGCTGACGAGCGCTTTGCATCCCCCCCGGGCAGTGCGATGAGACTCAGCCAGAGTTACTAGCATGCGTCCAGCGAGGCATCCCCTGCAGTGGGTACCAGAGCCGCATCAGGTTCAAAGATATCTCTGATCGGACGGCCGAGATGTCCAAGAGGGTCGAGGCGGCGCGGTGGTCGGCCCTGCGGGAAGAAGACGCGGCCAGACTGCACGTGGCTAAGGGCGGTGCACGGGATAGAACACCTACGAGGGATCACCAGAACGAAAATCGCCAGGACAAGGACCACCGGAGCAAGAAACATCCCGAAGAGAACGTAAGACGGATCCTCGGGTGCGACTTTGACGACGCCGCGGACCACAGTTTACCCGTAGCCATGCTCGACTAAGAGGACACGTTCTTGAGACATATCCTGGAACAACAACCGCCGAGATTCTTGGGCGACGAAGCCAACGACGACGCGGATCACGCGGCGCGCTTGGGCCCCTCGATGTCGATGGACGCGTTCCCTTTCTCTCGTTCGCCGTTCGAGCTCTCTAACCGGTTCGAATTCCTCTCAGCGGTGCCAAAAACATCCCGGCGCCCGATCCCGTCGTTGGCGCCAGATACCCGAGATTCCCTTGCGTTATGAAACGCATGTACGTCCAAGGCAGACGCTCCGTCCTGGGACGATATGCTTGACTTTCCCGACCCTTCACGTGCCCAGATGCCCCTTGGGGGGGGGGCCTATTGCACTGTCGATGACATGGCAGCGCGGCGCGGGCATGACGGAGGATTCTCTGCCAGAAACCTTTGAAAAGGATGTCGCGCCACGGATAGCCCTCCCTCTGCCTTTGACCGACTTATTGCGTGCCAGCACCGGCCTTTGGGCCGCCGCTCTGGCGCTGACGACCGTCTATCTCCGCCTGTGCCGGACCTCCGGCTCGGAGCCAACATCTCCGGGGACCCAGCCCGACCCGGCGGCCACCGGCGTCCACTGCCATTACTACGACTTTGCCGTCGCCGATCTCGTCCACCAGCTAAGAATATGTCCCGGCCCCGACGCCGCCGACGCTCTCGTCCGTGCTGCCATCCTCCTCATCTACCGCGACACCGCCGTCGGCTCGCACCGGGACGTCGGCGGCTACCTGCGCCAGCCGGAGGCCCTCTCGGCCGCCGTCGACCTCACCTCACGCTGCCACCAGGCCCTCCTCCGTGCCTGGCTGTTTTTCTCGTTCGACATGAGGCTGTGCTCGCTGGTTACGCGCAAGTCCGTCGCTGGGCCGCTCCCGCCGCCGCAGCAGACGTGCGCCCCTTGGGATAGCCGGCTGATGATCCAGGTCATCTTCTCCTCCCTCTCGCGGCTTCACGGCCGGGCCGTCATGGAGGCTTCCTTATCGAAGCCCGACGGCGGCGACCCCGGAGGTGGCGGTAATAAGAAGGCGAGGCAGAGCGCGTCGAGACGGGCCGTCGAGTGGCTCTGTTCCGTGCTCGGCTAGCGGTGCGACCTCCGCCAGTGGGAGCAGCGCGACTACTACGACGAGACCCTCTCGGACGATGCCATCACGCGCAGTGCCGCGTATTCGAGAGTAGACTCGACGCGTGGCACCGCGCCACCGCGCGGAACGACCTCCCCGTGCCGTGCCTCGGGGCGGGCGCCGAGGACGTGGTCGCTGAGGGTGCCTTTGGGGCCGTAGTGCCGTATGACATCCCCGACCGCGGCGCGGCCATCGAATACTCGCTGTACCTGATCTCCCGCATGACGTGTTTGTATCTCCAGTCCCGATACCTGGCCCGGGACCCCAAGCACGCGCCCGTCTTCGACTCGGACGCTCTGGCGAGGGTCGCAGTCACCATCCTGCTCAAGACCGGGCCGGCGCAGCCGACGGCGTTCGGCGAGCCGAACGTCCTAATGCTGCTCTACATGACCGCGCTGGTGTCCAAAGGCACCGCCATCGCCACGGCGGTGCTCGAGGGCGTGCTCCCCCGGTTCATGAAGAACGGGAACATGCCGACGGTGGAGCGCGACGAGATGCTGTATATGGAGAGGCTTATAGAGGTGGTCGTCCGGGAGAGGTACCGGGGCCGGTCGGTTCGTTTCGCGATCGATAGCTACGAAGAGGATCACAGGAGAGATGCGACGTGTTCGTCGCGCCAGCGGAAGATTGTCGTCTTTGGCGACTTTGGCGGACGAGGCCATTTCCGGGATGTCGTGTACATGGGTTCGAATGCTTGTACGGATGTTCTATGAAAGACTATCGACTCAAGCAATGCAGGATGGTTATGATAGACATGATGGACGTAGAAGCCTCGACAGTTGCAAACATGAACCGACTGAATCCTCACAGCTAATCGCCCCTGTCGTCCTCCAACACAGGTTGGCCAGGCTGATTCTGCGAGAAGACAGCGAGCGGTCTCCGAAACAGGCCATCCTTTTCCATCCCGCCCGTCAAGATGGTCGAGCCAGTGTTTGACGAGTTTCAGTGAGGACACCGGTTGGTCATATGGGACCTGTGAGTCAAGAGTCAGTAACACTTCAGTCCTCATGCGTTGTCCACGGAACCCAGATACACCACCCTTGGAACCCCACACTCTCTTCCTGCAGCAACCCACTCTTGTACTTACACATACACGCTCATTCAGACTGCCCTCTTGACCCATCACGGTTGTTGATCCTTGATCTGAGACTAGGCAGTACACTAATTATTCTTTTCGGACTCTTCTCGACTCCTCACAAATGCCCCGAAGCGCCTCGAGGACACCGTCGGGGTTGCAGATGATGTCCATCACCCCGATGTACAAGAGCACATCAAGAGGCCTGCGAGACCCGCTGGCTGTCTTGCCTTCGCGGGAATCCTCCAGCAGCGCACGGAGCGCGGCCGTCATTGGCGCGACGAAATCGCCCGATGCCGAGAACCTCTTGAACGTAGGCCAGTCCTCCATCTCCCACCCGGTCTTGGCGCCTCGCGTCCGCAGCGCGACCTCGAACTCGCCATCCAGGACCGCCGGCGAGTTGAGGTACTGGACGGGGTTCGCGACATCCGGATAGCAGTTCCCTGGCCCCGGGCAGTGCCTGAGCCGCCTGTCGTAGACGCTGCGCGTGGCCTTCTGGAAGACCTCCAGGTAGTCGGGCCTGCACGCGTCGACGGCCATCGCGCACAGGGGCGGCCTGGCGCTGCCCTGCTCGCAGGCCCGCAGCAGCTTCTCGCACGGCGTCAGGGCTCCTTCGAGGGCCTTGCAGTCCTCCTCCTTGAGCTGCCTGGGGTACTTGCCCCGCCAGCCGTCGAAACAGCTGACTTCGTGCATGGAAGGTACCTGGACCGCCAGATCAATCCACGGGTTCCCGACGAAGATGGACCGCAGGGGGATGACGGCGCCGCGGGCCTCCGGTGAGTGGTCGAAGAAGGAGTTGTACTCGAGGATGCTGGCGGCAAGCGTGGGGACATAGCGCCCGGCAAACGATCCTCCGGACAGGTGGAGGTCGGCGGACGCAAGCGAGGGGGAGGCCTCGTACAACAGCCGGATGAAGGCGATGGAGTCGAGAGACGACGCCGGCGTGAGAGACGACGCCTGCGTGCGAGACGGCATGGCCGGCGGCTCCCCGTCGGTTCTGTTGTCGACGTAGGAGAAGCCCACGCCGGCCGGCTGATCCAGGTACACGACGTTGAAGTGCTCTGTCCAAGAGTTCGGGTTGAACTTGGTGGCGTTGGGTCCGTCGGTCACACACGGGCCGTTCTCGGACAACATGCCGTGGAGAGAGCTGCCCCCGGGGCCTCCTTGACGCCATATCAAGAGAGGAGCCGAAGCCGGATCATGTCGAGCTTCGTGGTACCCTATATACCTCTTGGTCAGTACATAGTTTCCGCAGATACAACAAAGGGCTGCAATAATGGAGATTACAGAAGAAGAGATGGCGGTCGTCTATGTCGGCCTAACCCGCATGGTGACCCGAACCGCCATGGCAGAGCTTCGTATCGTCGGCCGCCTAGGACTTGTAGCGTATGGCGCAATCATTAAAGGTCGAGTTTACAGTCCTGTACTCCGAAGCCGCGGCGGTGGCGACGACGGGTAACAATAAGAGGCTGGCGGTGGCGGCCGATAAGCGAGGCTTGTTGAGAAGCATCTTGAACGTGATTCTCCGCTAATTGGTAATCTTGGTCTCCGTTTACCACCAATCACTCAGTTCGGCCGGTAGAGTAGGAACGACAGGCATATAATGCTTTAGTATAGCATTCGATGTGAGAGGCTTGCTGCACGCTGCACGTGCCGGCCAACGGCGGATCGGATTGCCTAAATAGGAAATTCTTCGGGGAACGCGTCATCCGTCTCCGAAACTCTCGCTCCAATATCAATGAGGAGTCATGACCTGTCCGTCCGCTTGACCGTCATTGTCACGGTATCTTTCCCATTGTCTCTCGGGGCTCTTTCGGTGGCTCTTGTTGTTGACCATGTCGCCTCTGCCTCCCTCCAAGAGGGGCTGGAATACAGTCTGGCCAGATCTCATGATAGACCTGAGCATGTAAAGGCATCAGCGACGACATCTCTGACATCTCGAGTTGCTTGGCCAGAAATCTTGCCAGAATCGGGCTAGCCCTCAAGCAGGGGACTGCCGGATAACTACCCGGATTTGTCTCAGGGGGCCAACCTTTCATTCTTCCCTGCATATGAGTCCTCCTTAGGTTCTAAATGCCAGGGAGGTTAGTCTGGTTCTGTTGCTTATCAAAGATTTACATAATATGCTCGGTTACGTCCTATTACCTAGGGTCTCTTGTTAATATAGAAAAGCAAGTAAATTCCATAGCCAGGCTCCTAATCTCAGCAACAAGCTGGCCATTCCTAACGCTTTACTTATTGCCTTTTAAAGCGTTACTTACTTCTTACTAGGTAATTAGTATATTGTTTAGCGTGTTGAACGCCTTATAAAGCATCTCCCCTACCTTAACCGCCCTACGCAACAGCTACGTACTATTACTAAGGTCAAAGGCTAAGAAAAAGCCGCTAAACTACTGGATATTAATCTTAAAGACGTTAATTTCGTTAAGTTATATCTTAGTAAAGTTAATCGTTACTGCAACATCTACAGCGTTGAGGAACTTGTCCTTCATCCCTATAATCCAAAGGGTGTTAAGCGAATCCACAAGCATCATAGCCCAGCCCCCAAAAGAGTTCTAGCGGCCCCCCAAGACCAGTGTCAGCTTATTAGACAGCCAAGCGTAGACGCAGTACAAAGACCACGCTTTTAAAAACGCCTGCTTGACGGTTGGTTGCTGCTCTTTGTGGACACGGCGCTGGTCGCTCGTTTCGTGTGGGAAGGTGGCCTGGACCTGTGGGAAGCGGACGGACGGCGCCGCCTGTAGTTGTTGGAGCGGCAAGGGCGCCGGGTGGTGGACTTTGACCTTCTTCCAAAGTAGGTGTCGTCCTGCTCCGCTCTCCAGTTCATTAGCTTCTACAGCGAGGGCGATGAGGATGTGAGTGAGGGGAGTCCGCCGTCGTTGTTCCAAAGGATGAAGAGGAGAACGGAGACGGGGAGACCGAGAAGGACGATGCCTTGCATTTTCCGTCTTCCAAGCAGCATCTTTGTTTCCGAGCGCTTCACGATGAACACCAAGCATGCATAGAATTCGGAAAGCAGGCAATAGAAGGAATCTGGCGGATTCAAACTCTTCGTCGTGATTTTCGTTACGTGACGTGGCGTGGAGACGGACGGCCCAGCCGCCTTATTTTGTCCTTATCAATCCTTTCGCTTCAGAGGAGTTTACAAGGCCCCTTATCGCTGGCAAAAGGGGAGCAGGGGGAGGGGAAGGTGGTGGTGTGGAAAATCGGGCGCTTGATATGCCGTTGGATGTGTTGGTGCAGGCACCTATAAACCTGGCGTTTGTGATGGTTGGTTTGCGCATTCATGGGCCCAAGTCACTTGTATCTTAGTTGTCTTGGCGGATGATCGCAACCGGGGCCAAACACGGAGACTTTGGCATGAAAGGAGAGGCCATGGGCTGTTGGAAGCCGTTGGATTTGTTGCTGGGCTGTGTCGCCGAGTATCGGGTACATGACTACATTATTTTGATGCAGCGATAGCTTTGTTGTTTGGGCCGGGATCTCTGAACACCTTGATGATTGGTACAAGCAGTAAGCCCCTTGTCTTGGATCCGATGCCGCAACAAGTAACAAGATGATAACTTGACGAAATACAGGCTCTCAAATAAACCCAGTTCCAATCATGCCCTCAGGCTGAGCAAAAGCCATGGTGTTGAAGCCCTGTCTTCGCCTGCGATGAAGAAAGCACAGAAGCTAAAACGAGGCCGCATAGCAAACGGATGCACTAGTTAATATTTTAATTTCGCTTCCAATGTACGTTGACGCACTAGAGTCCGCAGCAATAAATATAGTTAGTGTGCTACGCCTACGCCCTAACCTTTAATGAGTTTGTTAGTTGATTACTGTAACGGTCCAAGGTAAATGTGTTTGCAACTAGCCACAGCGACTATTCCGAGTGTCCTGAGACCGTTAAAATAAAACAAAATACTTGGACACTCCACCTCACCGCTAGCCTAATCAAAGCTATATCGCACTGGCCAATGGATTGTCAGCATAAGGGTTCTGTGGTAGCCCTAGCTAAATAAACCGTTTTATACCTTTTGCTTAAAGCACCATTTGTGGCTGGGGAATATTAAGCTTACTTGATATTGTTGACAGACCAATGACAAGGCTAGGGTCTTCACCTTCACCTGCATACACACAGGCATATACACAGACAGACAGAGAGCCCGAGAGAAGCACAGTAGGGCGGATACACCCATTGGCTAGCAGCTGGATAACACTACAAGCTAAACATCGTTCCTTTTCTTACGCCACCACGGCTTCCGTAACTTCTGTCTTAATAAAAAGAATGCCCCTGGTCGGCATACCGTCTCTATTCAGCAACCTGACAAATCGGTACCCAAGCCTTAACCTGTCCAGACGCACACATGCCCACGCACTCATGCCACTCTGACTAACGACGTCGTTCATGATCATGAACGACAGAAATGCCAATTCAGGAACAACGCCCTCAATGTTGAGGAACTCAATCACCTCGCCACAAAAGTCCGGGCTGGTGCTACTGCTTTTACCCGTTTGGCCACTGTAACCAACCTGCTTGACCTGCTCTCCCCCTGCATCATCATCCACCATGATTGCCAGCGCATCCGGCTCTGTATGCAGCCCGACCTTGACCCAAGGGGCGAACTTGGCCGGTTCATCACCCGGTTCCAGCAGCGGAAGGTTCTGCGCTGACAGCACTGTAACAGCCACCCTATCCAGTCTTTTACTCTGGATCTTCGATCCAAGCTCCTCATCCTCTTCGATCCCAGGTACCAACCTATCAGTTTTGTCGCGGCGATAGCCCTTTGGCTTGAGGACGTACCCATCTGAGCCCGCAAACATGCCCTCGTTGAGGATCATACCCACATCCCAGGACTGCCAGTTCAGCGCAACAATCTGCACGCCCGCTCGCCAACAGAGCACAGGATCAAAGTTGGACGAATCCAACCGCATGCCGTGCGGGTAGGTTCTCATAAGAAAGTCCCTGTTATGCTTAAACAAGGCCTTTGGCATCTTACTCTGGATGGCAAACGCCGCCTTCTCCGAAAGCGAGAAAACGTGATTTGGCATCGATGCTTCGGGCTGCTCGAAAGACTTGAATGTGATGCCGCGCGTGTGGATCGCCAGACGGCTGAGGCGGGAGATAATCTTGGGAGCCTTGACCTTCTTCGTCTTCTTCGTCTTCTTCTCGCATCTTTCCGTGACGACTTCGAGAACGCTGCCGTCATCTTCCGGGCCTCCAGGGTCGCTGCTTTCGGTGCCGTTCTTGTCGTCTGGGACGTACTTGACCTTGATGAGGATCTTATTACGCAGCTGATCGGGCGACGGCAGGGAAGCGGGTTCGGTCTCGGACGCCGGGAGGAGGTATTCACCCCATGTCTCCTCCATGATGTCAACCATGGCGACCTGCTGTAGTTGGGAGCAGTGCACCTCCAGGCTGACGATGAGTGGCAGATCCGACACTGCGAAGGCGTAGTCCTTGACAACCTGGCACACGTCGCGGAACAAGACCTCCTTGGTGAGTGTGAAACCGTGAAGGACTCGCGGCTCGGCCCGAATAATGTCCGAGAGTCTCTCGTCTACTGTTCTGCCATCAGGGTCGACCGGCTCAACCTTGTTCATCCACCATCGGCCGATTCTGAGAATTATTTGGTCTCTTCGGCCGATCTTCTCGGAAGGGTCATCTAAACAAGTGCCAGGTACGCCGTGTTTCTCGCCCTCATCTGTGTGGATGCCGGGTCTGTACTGCTCCTGGCCATCCCAGACGTCAATCTCGATGCACCGACATCCCCGTAGCAAGACGTCCTTATATGCCTCGGCGCTAGAGTCACTCGAGAGCTGGTTCCCGGTGAGATAGGTGTTGTGACTCGAACTGATGAAGTAGCTACTCAGCGGCCAGGACAGATCCTGGGGCCCTGCCATCTCGAGGATATTGCCGCATGGCGAGGTTATGTACTTGATCAGCTCGGAAAGATCCAGCTCGTCTTTGTCGACGAGATAGCCCGCCGGGCCGTTGGGATCCTCGGCCTGCACATGCTGCATGAAGATGCTAACCTGATCTGCAGTCCATTTGTTATTTGGACCGGCATACTTGTTGAATAGCTGGGAGAGGTGGCCTAGGAGAGACTCGTCCAGCTTTTCCTGCACGCCTTTGCGCTGGGCGCTGGGGTGGCCACCGCCGGCCCTATATTGACCAAGCAAGTAGTCATGCGACATCGCTCACAACTGCATGTTCGCCTTTTTTGAAAGAGCAAAAGAAGAAATCAAAGTGTCGGAATGGCGTTTTGCACTGGGGACGTAGCCGCCTCGGGCGTTTTAAGGCGTCGGGCAAGGACCCATGCGAAGCGTCTAGTTTTCTCGTTCGCCATGCCCCTTGGAATTTTGGAGAGCATTATGCAAACTGGCCCACAAGGGCTGATGGCGGCGGTCGAGAAAAGCCAAAAGGCCCTAGCGAGCTGGTGTGAGGCGGTCGGAAAGGAGGGGGGCTGAGTTCTTCATCTTACTACAGTGTGCCGAAATACCCGAAGTCCCGTAATAAATCCGCAAACTATTAGTCTTGCCGAGGGCGTTAGTCCCTTCAATGTAGTCTTGTCTCATTGATATAGGAAGAGGCAAGGTAGGCAGACCAAAATAGCGGTTATTACACAAATATTGCGAGCAAATGCGTCCAGATTAGGTTAGTGTACTTGCATCTCAGGGTTAGGCTCGCCTCAGTGTGGGTCTCTATGTACCTCAGTCACAAGACTAAGCAGCTCAGTCCGTAGTTAAGCATAATCCGACACTAGCAAGGCGAGAGTTATGCCTAACATATTATAGAGTGAGTTATTATGCACGTTATAAATCTTAGGCGCTATCTTGTATGATATCCGCATCGGCTACCAGGGACACTCTCTCAGCCTCCTAAACTATCGCGAAATCCTGCCTGTGCCCCTAACCTGCGTGGGAAATATGTACAACTATAGAGTTGAATCACATTAATCTACTAAGGTCCCTTTTGAGATGACTTATCACAACATTACACTCAGTCTTAGGCAAGAAACATCTGCCTTACACGTGATCTATATTTCATGAACAAGGAAATAATTATGTTTACCTAGATAATTTAAGTGCACTTCTACTAACACGTTTTCCCTTCCCTGTTCTCTTTATCCCCGTTTAACTGTTTCTTGCACTAGAACTATTAACGTCAACAACACCTAAGCTTAGATTACCTCTGACCTTATACATAACAGCAAGAAGTTTATTTCTTCTAGTCCTAATCACAGGTCTTATTGCTCTTCTATTATACACTACAGATATAAATATATTTATTCTAAGCCAATAAAAGCCTTCTATACCTTTTAAGTAATTAACTTTATGATTCACTCTTATAAGTAGCTCTTAGATTATCCTTCTGTTGTAAAGCTATCAGATGCTTACGCCTTAAAGTGCCTAACTAATTACTAGACATTAATAGACCAGTAAGATTACTAATAAGACCTACCTTACTGTTATTGAGTATTAAGCTTAGCTACCCGTTAGCAGAAAACACCACTGTCGGATAGCTGACCGTAACACTAGAGGCTTTGTCAATGCTTCCACATTGTTATCCCTGTCAAAAGGGATAAAGTACAATCCGTTTTTATAGTATCCTGGAGACAGAAACGGGTCTAGTATAACATAAAAGAAAGTTCCTGCTAGTTAACTTTAGAATTTTACTGTAAACAATAAAGTTATATATACCTGTCTTTTATAGCAGCATAGTTCTTTAAGGCTAGACAAGAGGGTTCTTCTAGGAAAAGAGATTACTGTACTAAAATAAAACTAAGAATAAGATTCATTATAAGAACTCTTATCTTATCTAATTATATCCTTATATCTAATAACTATGTAAACTTACTATATCTATATTTAGATTAAGTAAAAAAGGAGCTTTATAACCGTATATAACTTGTCTATATACAAGATATACTTATAACAATAAAGGCAGTCTAGAAAAGACCAGTCAAGAATCAGGGTAACCCTAGAATTCCAGTCTGGGATCTAGTCAATCCTAGATTCCAGAAAACCAACTCCTAGATTCCAGATAAGATACTTTTATTAGATAATCATATTGCTAATAAGATATCAAGGAAAAGATAAACCTAAGATATTCCCACCTTTTAGAAAGAAATAACTAGAATTATATTTCATCAATGTAATAACCTTATCTTTCTACCTTTACTCTCACTAAGTCTCTTTACTTCCCTGTGACTATATAAGAATATTACTATTATATTCTAAGTATAAATAAGAAACATTAACAGTAGAAACATTTAGTATAATATTAATAAACGTAATAGTAAAATAAAACTTATTTATAACTAGTAATTAAGTTAAAAAGAATTATCTGTAGTTAGTTATTTATTTTCAAATAAATATTATAATTTAATAAGGCTTATTTCTAAAAGAAAAAGGCATCAACATTAGTATAGAATATCAAGACAATTATTAACTAAAGAATGAAGGGGAGCATAAATTCTTGTGCTCCTCTAATAAACGTAGCGCAAGGATGTAGGGGAGGTGGAGCTAGCGTTTGTGTATGCAGAGCGCTACTGTTCTTAAGGCAAACACACACACACCATTTATTACTCCTTGCAGCGCGGCGATGGTGTTGCAGCTTCTCAATCAATGAAACATTTTTATTTTTGATACCTGTACATATGTTATGGTTTGGAAACAACCCTATGGGATCGGCTTAAAACTGAAGCGTTACTCGCGATGCACATTTTGAACATCATGTAGCATCTGAACCACCGTCAAAGCCACCATATCCTTCAACATCATCAATTGTTTCTTAACCCTACCGCCTGCCCAGATAATGGTTCCCGACTCACTATCAGAGTCAAATACCAGACTTAATCATGTCTGCTGCCTGTAGAATAGGTTAGCGATGAGTACCGCACTGTCGTCCACAAGCGCGAAGGGTATACTCACCTTTTCGGCAATAGCATACGTAGTACCTTGTACATGTGCTGCTGGTAACATGGGAATGATAGAAGCATCGACAATGCGTAAGTTACTAACTCCATAAACCCTAAGGTGTGAATCTACCACACCACCAAGCTCAATGGGCATCATGGCACAAGTGCCGGCAGGATGCCAAACAGTAGAGAGACCGGCAGCAGCATAAGCGCCTAGTGAAGCATCGTCCGTGATCTCGCCTCCAGGTGCAACCTCCACTGCTTTCATCGCTTGGAATTCTTCTGTCGCAACAATCTTTCGATCGTACTTCAGAGCGTCCGCGTAGAGCTGTCTATCAGCAGGATGGGAAAGATACCGAGGATCGATGACTGGATGGTCGAATGGATCCGCGGATGCCAGCGTAACTGTTCCGCGAGAGAGTGGGTGCATCAGGATGGTGACTAGGAACGTGCCACCGTTTAGAACCATGAGTTCTTGGCCAGCTGTCTTGCGATCGCGGTGATTGGCAACGACATGCTCAATCTGAGCTTTGTAGCCTGCTCTGACGCTAGGATCGGTGATGTTTGCAAGATAGGTACTTGCCGTGCTAGCGTCCATGCTATCAAGCACATCAGGGTTTGAAGCGAAATCAAGATACGGAATAAAAGCAAGAGTGGCAGGGAGTCCATCAGTCCACCTTCCAGTTCTGTTTTCGTAGTAGAGATCACCCTGGACAGAATCGAATGTTTCGTTCTCGAGATCTGTACCTTGTGGGAGGCTTTGATTGACTTTTAGATAGTCAGTACAGGAAACACACAGAATGTGAGTGTTAAACTTACTACTGAGGACCATAGCATTGATAGCATGATCTTGTAAGTTGGCTCCCACACCAGGAAGGTCAACAACAGAATCAATTCTGTGTTCCTCAACCTGAGCCTTTTGGCCGATGCCAGAGAGCATAAGCAACTGAGGGGATCGAAGGCTACCTGCAGATAGTATAGCCTCCTTCACTACGTTGACACTAGCCTTTCCACTTTCTCGCGATGCTGCGAACTCAACGCCAGTAACTACAACCGTATCATTACGGGCTGCAGTTACTAACTTAGTAACATGCGTCTCCGTTAAAACATGCAAGTTTGCTCTGTCAATCGATGAATCGTACCAAGCGGTACGGCCGAAAGATCGAGATTGGTTTGTAGGGTGGATGGAATGGGTTGTTAGGTAAGCGCCAAGCGTGTTACCACAAGACTGGTCTAGCGGCTGCGATACACCCAGGCTTTCGAAAGCAGCCATGAAGTTATCTGCGAAAAGGTGAGCTATAACTGAATGCTACAAAACAAGGCATTTGTCGCTGGGAAACACACTGTGTTGTGGGTAAACATAGCGACAATAGCTCGACTGGACCGGGCCGTCTGTTCCGTGGCATTCAGGATTCCAAGTGATACCGAATTCCTCGACTTGGTCATCGCTAGGAGGTGTAAAGGTTTCGGCCTGTATCTGAATGTTAGTTGGAACCCAAAGGAGACCGAGCGGTTCACTAAGGGTCTGGAAACCAACCCTCCTAAAGTACGGGAGCAGACTGTCAAAATTCCAGCCTGGGTTGCCCAAATCGGCCCAGGCATCATAGTCAGCTGCACGGCCACGGTCATATACCATGGCATTGAGACCGCTTCCACCACCAATAAGTTTTCCCTGGGTGAATACAACCTCCCTGTTTCCAAGGTTCACTTGAGGTACCGTCGAGTCATTCCAGTTGTACTTGGCACCGGTGTACGGTCCATTGGCAGCAACATAGTATCGCGGGATCATGATTTCCTTATCACCGGAGTCTCTGTAGAGCGTCAGTTCGGAAATCCAAGTCTGGTAGCTCAGAGAATCTAAGTTGCGCAAAGATAGCTTACACAGGGCCTGCTTCAATCACGAGTATCGTTGCTGTTGCACTCTATCATCAGTTGTGATGAACAGGCATCTACATGTATAGGAAACAAACTTGTAGGGTCTTCGGATAATCGATTGCCCAGTGCCATTCCACCAGTGCCGCCGCCTACTATGACGTAATCATATTCTTTTAGCAGCTCATCGCGAGTTATCAGACGGCACTCGCATAAGCCTTGGAAGGCCATCAGGCCAAACAGAGTCGTAGAGAAGGATTTCATCTTGATTCAGTCAATTGAATACGATCAGTGATATAGAGAAAGGATGAAGAATTGGTTCAGGAAGTTCCCTTCATGTCATTATTTATAGATTGACTGATACTCGTCACATACCACCTTATACGAGGGTAAAGGTACATTGGCCCCACTGGGATAATTGCCGGGCCAGGGTACCGAATCGGATCATATTGTTGACGCGTATCTATTCCACTCACTGCGGCAAGACGCTAGGAGAAAAAGTCTCATAAGAATTACATTTTTAACTGTAATAATTGCTCACCGTTGAGTAGACGAGTTGTGTCACACACTTTTATCGGCTGTACCTCGCATGGCGTCTTGTCGCAGCCAATGGGATACGCGGTATAGCTCGTATTGAGAATGTGTCGATCGCGGGAAACGTGGCAGACTTGTTGATTCCCGTAGCATCAAGACCGACAGCTGTAACATTGCATACAAGGCGAGCAGCAGCAGTGAGTCCTTCATGTCATGAGCTATAACCCTGGTAGGAATTGCCCAATAGTTGCCTACAACTGTCCGCAATACCCGAGATGTTTGTTCGATGTACAAGAGACGAGCAGGTAAGACCACCATCACGAGGGACACGTTTCAATCCCCACTAACACTATAGGTTCAAACCCAGCATTCGTTCCTCTCGGTGCCTCCACTACAGCTCGGGTGTAACCTTTCGACCTTAGTTATGTCGTCATGAACATCTTTTGGGTCAACTGGACCGCGTATCTCGGGCGACATACTCGTTTCTCAACATCGATCTGATCTGGTCATGGCTCAGTAACTTCGTTCGCAGAGTGACAGTAGAGCCGTAGTTCGCAATTAAGAGCTTAGAACGATGAAGAGAGAGATCTATTTAAACAGTGAGATTCCCCGGTAGTCCAGAGCAAAATTATCATTCATCAGCTGTTATCGGCTTTGTTACCTGTTCAGACCGTACTCTGTTGCCCTTGAGTCCTGAAAATCGATAAGAATGCGTTGCAAGTTTCCTATTCTCCTTTCTTTCACGGGTGTAGCGCTTGCGCAGATCGGTGAGTTTATAATGTTCTAGCGCCTTGAATTTCTTGAATTTTCTTTGTAAAATAGCGTGTTGACTGTGATAGATTGCACGCCAAATGTGTATGCCCGTCTTCCAATCATTGCCCGGACGCATGATGGAGTTAACGCCTCTTGGACTCAACCACCCTCTGGCTGGGTGTTCGGGAATTGGAAGTTGACCTGGTCTAGTAGCCCTAACTATGTGGCTTTACACAACTTCAACGTCGACCTTTCACCCGTCTTCCCTCAGACTCCCAACAATATGTATCAGATGCATGATCTCTCAACCTACCAGATCAATGGCACTAAAGAATTGACGATATACTATGGCGTCGACAACAAACGTGCCGAAGACAGTGGCATTTACAATTTCACCCTCCCTAGTGGTGGTCTTAATTACCGTTTGGAAATCCTGGCTTGGGGCTACGATACGGAAGGTAATGGGTATAAAGTGACGTACGAGAATGAGGCACCGGAGATACAAGCGCCGGCTGCTCTAAGCGTAGAGTCTCGCGTCGCAACTGGTCCAACTCAAGAGACGGTATCAAGGATTTTGGCCGAGGTGAAGAAGCTGGGTTGGGTACCGCTGGCTACACTTGCCGAGGAGATGATTCCAACGACGCATAACGACGGAAGGAAAGGGCTCGAATACGTCTGTGACGCCACATGCACTGGTACCAAGGATCCCTGTTTTGCCTGAGTTTGCAAATAATGATGCTTAGAAACATCGTTAAATAAGTGCTGGCCATGCTCCTACTGAGTATGGCCGACGGCTGGGAGATTCAAGTAGAATAGTCAGTTCGATTCGGGTCCAGCACCGCAGTACAACCTCAACGTCTGCGTTAGGACAATAGATTCAGCCAAAATAAAGACGAGGCGCATGAGTACCTAATTTTCACTCATGTTGTGCCACAATCCAAGAAAAACCGATGATTCGAGTGAATAGAAAAGAGAGATACTGATCGCCACTCCGTGGAGAAAGCTATTTTGTAAAAGGCGATCATACATCCTCTTAGTGCAGGGAAGAGCAAGTAAAATTAGGATTTACTGAACCAGAAATGACCAGAAAGCCCGACTGCGACTCACTTTCCATAATTGTTGATGCCACTTGGACTGAGAACAAAGCCGCCGATGCCACCAAGGGTATTAGTTGGGGGGTGGCATGACTCCGCTTCAGCATTGCCTGTTGACTTACTGCAGCCCCTTACATGCTGTCCGCCTCGCAGAGAGAAATACTTGTCGCAGACTCCGAACCTCTCTTCTTCTCGTATCACAGCATTCCCATCCTGCGAGGTCATGGCTGAAGTGCTTTGTTGCAGAGTGTGCAGGATAGACAGCGCATTGCTAGTAACGCGAAGCTGACCACAATAGCTTAAAATACCTTTCGCCTCAGGCAGCAATACCCACTCCATAACTTCATTTTCTTCTTCGCGACCTGTTTGAGATCTTGGCCACTCGATCAGAGCTGTCCCCGAACCAATTAGATTGTAGTTTCGACCGGGATGCAACGTGGAAGCGCACAACAACACGCCCCGTCTGGCTGGGGGGTGGGTAGAGCCATGCCTGTCGGGCTTGGGGTTTCACAAGTTGTCGAAAGCGTGCAAATCTAGTGAGATGAAGTGAACAGTCTACATCTTACACACTATTTCGTCGTCATCACTCTAGGCTGAGAGATTGCGGGTGAATGTGATTCCTACATCCCTATGTTCACCTGGACGCTTTGTTGCTAATAATCTTGATACCAAATGGGAATATCGGGAAAGTCGATTTCTCGTATTGTGTACGATGGCATCGAATGAGGACACGTATTCTTGTCACATATTTCAGCAGAGGTTGGGGTCAATTGGTTTTTGGACGCCGCTCTAATCGGGCTGTCTCGGACAATTTGCCCCGGGTATCTATCCATTTGGCAATGTGAACCTCGCTTGGAACCTGGTGTGCCTATGCCGTTGTAAGCAAGAGAATACGATCGAACCCGAGTAAAGATCAGTAACGACCCCACAGACGCAGTAGTCCCTGTGAGAGAGACCGCAGACCGTGGAACTGGTCCCACTTGACGTTGCGGCTGGGTGCGCTAGCCAATAGGAAGATCCCTTCTGGGTTCCGCAAGTTGTTGTGGAAGCACGCTAACCGGCGAGGCAGACGCAGCTACTCCCGTGGCTTTGAAAGAGTCAATAGTGCCCTGAAGTTTGCCGCTTATCTGCGGCTGACCATCCCTTGCAGATGCATGACGGTTGTTTCCAGGGGCCCGCAAAGAACGGACGTCGGAACGCTTGTACAGCCCGGTAGGGTTTCTATTCCCTGTATAACTGACAGAACCAGGGACACCCTCGCTTCAGTGAAACTAACCACATACAGTCATTACTTGTCTAAAACACATATTCAGGCCAGGATTGCCTTAGGAGGGATAACCACCAATCGTTTATATAGACCTACTACAGGACCAGCAGATTACACTAAGCAGTATACCAACCAACTTATCCCACACTCGTAAATTACAGCACTAGTGACTAAACAGTCAATCTGTCAGGAGGGCCGTTCTAAGACCCACCTTTTCGCTAGGTCCGCAGACTCCGTGTGATGATGATTTCATCTCAGGCTACTGCAGCTAAGGGGATACGAGAACTCTATTCTAGGATTTCATGTGGAAAAGGCTCTACTTAAATGAAATGGCGTGTATTTAAATAAAACATGACTGGGGTTGTTTAGCAAAGGACAGTATCCGTTATTATAGTGGATTCAGTGATACATCTCCTTCCGGCTGGTTCAGAGTTCCATTGTTTGTCTCCCTAGTATAACTGCTTCTTATATATCGTTATAACAAAACAAAATGGTTTAAGCGGACTTTCGTCCTAGACACAGGCGTTCATCTAACATAATAGCTTAATACTTCATATGTTGTGTACTAGCGCGCTACAAGAGATACTGTTTGAGCTTAAAGGTCTATAGTCTAGGACTTAAGAAGTGGAGAAACTAGTCCGAATACAAAGTTTGACTTTGAAATAGATTACAATATACCCTGTTTGCCATCACATCCTCAGTCAAGGCACATAACATGGAGTCTAGTGAACGTACTTCAAGATTTCCTAGTATTACGTAGTGCTTAGAGGGAAATAGGTATTTTTCTTTTAGATCGGCTGTAATTTGGTGATTATATAAATGCTCTACTGGACGCTTTCTACAAAAAAGTTCTACCCTTATACTCCTCATCAATTTTAGACAAGTTGGAATGAACTGACCTAGTCCGACCTTAATACTACGTTTCCACCAAAAAGACCAAACATCGCGCTCAAGTTCCTGTACCTAAAGACGCAAAGACATCAATCCACCAAAATACAACTTATCAGCAATATGCAACTCACTATAACTCTAGCTTTAGCCTTCTAGACGGCTACTGCGTTTACCTACACGACAGTTGTATGCCTTCCTGGACCTGGCGTATCCATTGGTGATGTGGAATGGGCTGTCAACAACCGGAAGAACGACCTACGTTTGAATGTAAAAGGGTTTTGGAACAGAGCTGAAGTCAATTGCCACGGTCAACAAGTCATATCGCTTTGTCGTAGCGATCCTTACCCTACACCTTTTACGACAAGCCTTAGCAATGGTTATGTTATATGCTCTACGCCAGAAATGAAAGGCTGGTACGATTGCGATAGATGCAATTAAGGACTTTTGTTAGAATATAGTAATTATTATTTTATTAGTGCTACATGTTACGACCCAACAAGCATAACATAACCAGGGTCGCCCCACGGGCGCCTAGCGGTTGTGAGACAAGGTTATATGCGAGATAGCACGGGAATACGTTAATCCCCCTCTTGGAACAGAAGAACTAAGGAAAGTCACGTGAAGATAAGAAGGACCGATAACAAATAAGCGGTCTATTATTACGGTCAGATATCCGACAGTGGTGTTTTCTGCTAATAGGCAGCTGAGGTCAATACTCGGTAACAGTAAAGTAAGTCTTATTAGTAATCTTGCTAGTCTATTAGTGTCTAGTGATCAGTCAAACACGTCTAGGCATAGATAGCTTTATAGCTTCATAACAGAAGGATAATCTAAAAGTCACTTATAAGAGAATGAATCACAAAGTTAATTACTAAAGAGCTATAGAAAGTATTTAGTCTAATTAGAATAATTGTCCTTATATCCTATTATTACCTTATTAGAACTAATCTCCTAAAGTTAGTCCTTAATAAGGACTAATCCTTAGCATATCAGTCCTAGGTTATAAACCGCTTATTTATTATTAGTTCTTCTTATCTTTATATAACCTTCTTTAGTTCTTTTATTCTAAGAAGAAATTAACATGTTCCTGTGCTATCCTACATATAACCTTATCTTATAACCACTAAGTACTTATAAAGTAACCCTAGTTATATTATACTTATTAAGTTATAACATTAGGTCTTTTCTTTAAAGGTCTTACCCTTAAGACCTTATAAGTAGATCATTTCTCCTAAGTTAAAGAGTTATTAAACTTACTTCCTAATTTATTTATAATACTAATACTATATTAAGTTATATATAAAAATTAAAACTAAAAGCAAAATCTTAAAAAACAAAAATAAAAGATCATAAGCGCTTTATGCTTCTAGAGTTTATTAAAGCTTATTCTATTATTACTAATATACCTTATACTTATTATTTTTATATAAAGACTACTTATTATTTTAGTAAAAGTTCTTTTTACTATTAAAGCTATATTAAGGCTAAAAAGTCTTATAATAGTGTTTTAGTAGCTTCTACTTATAAATATCTTTTAATTAAGTATAGTCTTTTTTATTTAACTTTTATTTATAATATAAAAATTAAATACTTAATAAAAAAAAAAAAGAAAAAAAAAAGATAATAAGTAAAAAGCTTTTAAGGCTTTATAAAGAACTTACTTAATTATAATCTTTAATAGCTACTACAACTAGCTATTTATCTAAGATTCAAAAAACTTAAAAACTTATTTATAAACGTTAAGCTAAAACTTTTTATTATAATATATAAAAAATTAATAAGTCTAATGCCTTAAAGTTAATATTAGATACTTATAAACAAAGAATAATAAAGGAGTTATAGTTTATATAGATACCTAATAACATAGACTAGTCCTTATATAGGCTTAGTAATAAGTTCTCAGACTTAGGGCCACTAATATAGGCGTCTAGTTTTAATATGTCTACAAGTTATAATAGTTCTAAAGTAGCTGTTAAAAGTGCTAAAGGTTCTTGATTAGTTCTTATAAGTTGTCCTTATATCTATACCCTTTTTATTTAATAAAATACTATACTTCTCCATTTTTCTCTTATTCATTAATAATTCATTTAACTTTATATTCTAGTTTATTTAGTTCTATAATAATATAGTCATTAGTATTTAATTCTCACAGTACTAGTTCAAGCAGTACAATATAAAAAACTAGATAGATCTTTATTATATCTAGTAAATCAAATTTAAAGTTAATATCTAAGATTTTCTGAATAATTTTAAAAGGTCTAAGTTTTTTATAGTCTAATTTATTACTTAGTCTTTTTGTTTTAATATTATATCATAAAAGATATACACTATCTCTCTCTTTAAAGGTTAGTCCCTTAACCCTTAATATATTAACGTATTTCTTCATTTATACCTTAACAAATTCAAGGTCTTTAATAGCGTTTTCTTAGATTTCTTATAATTTATTATAATCTACCATAGCCTTTAGCG